AGAATTAGATTTATTTGTCTGTGGGAAACTCAGTTGCAGTTGTGCAACACTGAGGTCTGAAACCATGAGTCTGCAAACACGATGTCCCGGGCCCTGCATCCGCTGCAGGTCACAGAGCAGCTCTCCAGAGGCCTCCATGGCACCGTGCTTCACTACCCCTCACTTGCAGACCCTGCCAGTGTCGATACCAGCTCCCAGTCCCAGGCAGCGTGGCAGGCTGCTTCTGCTGAGGAGGGATGAAGGTCCTTGAGGGATCTTGGCATGACTGAGATGGGAGAGTACCCGGCATCTCGCCATCTCTAGTGTCACTGGGGTAGTTTGGATCCCTCCTCTGCTGACAGTTACATCATGTGCAGTCCCAGATAAGGCCAAAAAAGTGCATGCATGTGTACAGAGAGGAGTGGAGAGCAATGCAACCCTTCTGGCATCTGCCTTTGCCTGGCAGGTCTGAATTGCCTGGCCTTGGGCCTGGCCTTCTGCAGCACTTAGGAGCAGTGTCTAGCATGGTGGTCTCTATGCTTCTTGCAGAGCTCAGATAACTCACCAAGGCCCATAAGTGATGCTCAGCTCTGTGATGAAACCCTCTGCTACTATGTGCAGTCCCTGTCCATGAGGTGGCTAAAACCCTGTGCTGTGGGGTGAGCAGCACTGAATCCCTGACTGTCTGAGCTGCATCCCCACCCTATGGCTCATGGGGACCTGGGGAGCAAAAAGGGTGAGGGGGCCAGCATGGGGACCAGCCCCTGCCTTATTCAGCACCAGCACAACAGGCTGGGATCAGCATCCTGCAGTGACAGAGGTGACTCCAGGCAGGGCTGGGCTGCCTGAGCCAGAGAGCTGCAGCCCACAGAGGTTTCCACCTCCAGCACGGCTCCCACTCTGCCCAGCAAGGAGCTGGTGGGAGCCTCCAGAGACGGCAACAGGGAGAGGTTTGCAGGCAATGTCTCTGTGTGAGATCCCTCCTTCTAAGAAGATTTTCTTAGGATTTTCTCTAGAGGAGATAAGTAATGTCTCCCTGGCAGACCGAGAATATTCCCACCTCTATCCTCTCCATCCCTCCCCTTTTCTGTTGGAGGGATTTCCTACCTGCTCTCCTCCCCTGGCACTCTGACCCCCACATTTTCCATTCTGCCTGTCCATGCCCTGGCTCTCCTGCCCATCTTCTGCCACAGCTCCTCTTCCTCACTCTATCCCTTTGCTCAGACATCACCTCCAAATCCTCTGGCAGGTCTTGTGGCCAAATGGGGTCTCATATTTTCAGTTTCCTTTTTCATTAGCACCCCAAAGATTCCCATCTGCTACCTGCCCCCAGGAGTAGGGCTCTCACATATGAAAGAACCCTCCATCCAGCAGGGTTCTTGCTCCTGCCTGATTTTCTGCCCTCGGCTCAGCTCTTTTCTCTCATCCATTGCTTAGCTCGCTCATTTGTCCTCTCAAAGCCCTGTGGAGCTGCTCCATGGGGCAAGGGGCTCTTGTTTCCATTGCCAAGTCTTTAAAATTTCAGATGTGCGCCTTACTGTTTGCTCCCTGTGGTGCCTCAGCTCTGGGATGAGTTACAAGCATGTCCCCCTGCCAGAGCAGCGCTGCATCTCTGGCTGCCCGAGCTGCATCCCTCCTGCAGTTCATGGGGCCCTGGGGACACACAGGGTGAGCACAGGGTGCTGCAGGTCCTGCATGAGGGCCAGCCCCTGCCTTATTCAGCCCAGGCACCTGGGGGGGCAGATCCCTGGCCTGGGGGAGCAGATTCCCCATGTGGGTGGTGGGGACCTGGCATGGGCACCTGTGGCCGTGTGGGGCCATGGCAGGGTGAGGGGGCTTCCCTACAGCTGGCTTCCCAAAAAGAGCCAAGTTCTTCCCCTTTGCCCCCAGGCAAGGCCTGTCCCTGGGGCAGGGGAGCTGCTTTTCTAAGCAAACAGCTCTTGGGTGTTGCAGCACTTGCCCCTCTGGCTCTCAGTCACTCCTCCACCATTTTCTCTCCCCCAGGCATCTGGTCCCCACCACTCACCTCTCCCTGGGAAGAGCCCAGCTAATCCAGGCAGTCACTTGTTGCTGCAATCCTCTCTCTCTCCCCTCCTTCCTCTCTGCTGGCTGGTCCCAGAGCCCTTCTCGGCAGTGGGACCTGTAGCAGCAGCAGGGTTATTTCTGCTGCGCTGCCTTGAAACAGCTGGGTTCTGTTAAAGCTTCAGCCAGGCATATAAAAGAGCATGAGCATCTCTCTGAGGCAGAGAGCATTAATGCAGTGGATGGGAAGGGAGAAGTGTGTCTCCAGCCCAGGCTCAGCTGGAAGCCCAGCACCTTTCTAGCTCAGGCACCAGCAGGGAGCTGCAGCCCTGGGGCGGCCGAGGGCACTGTGTCCCCCGGGTCCCGCTGTGCCGTGCCACCGTGGTGAGCCCTCTCCCGCCGGGATGTTCCTACCGGAGCCAGCCAGGAGGCGTGGGAGCTGCTGGGGAGCCGCCGGTGCCAGGGAGCTGCAGGCTGGGCACAGCAGGGTAAGGCTGGAATTCGGCTTGCGTGGCATTGCCATGCACACTTGCTAGTGGCGTTCCACTGATAGGCCATTTATTTAGCCTGATAATTGGGTGACAGGAGGTTAATTAATTGTCAGAGTGACCAGTGTTCTGGTAGGCTATTTATAGGAGTGACCTTTCAATTACTTTTAAAAAACACTTTCTCACTGGCTCGCTTCTTGTCTAGTGATGCTGTGGGTAAATGGCATGTGGCCCCTTACAGCCTGCCAAGGGCACATTAGGGATCCAGGCAAGTACAGGCACGTTTGGGCAGGGGGTGCAGCTGTGGCTGCCGTGGGACGCTGGTGAGCCTGCCGGGCTGGGCTCCGCCTGCAGGAGCAGCTCAGCATCCGCGGCTCCCCGCAGCCGGGCCAAGCCAGCCTGGGTGCGGCACCTCGGCTGTGCTCTGACAGCCAGCATTAACCACAGGGAAGGCAGGGAGGCTCCTGGCTTGCCTGGGGGGGTGGCGGGCTTACCCAGCCTCAACACTCCCTTGTGGCCTGGACGCAGCAAATTTTACAAACCTGACGCACAAACACACATCAGGCACGGGGGGGTTCCCTGGCCCCCTCACCTCCCCCTGCAAGCTGGCTGCTCCTGTGCTGCTGAGCTTACTGCTTCTCCAGCGGCTCCAGAGGTTCTTAACTTGTGGGGTGGAGGAAATTGCTTTGCCTCATGAGGACCAGTTGAATAGCGGAGGAAGAAAGAAGAATAAATAATTCAATGGAAAAATCAAATGCGCAGAACCCCATATGTTACTGACAAGAAACAATTCCTGTTCCACAATGGCTTAGATCTCCTCTGGAGCAGGATAAGGACTTCAGGGATCCATCGACCAGAGGGGTGAAAGCACAGCCACCAGCTGGAGCTTGAAGGGCTTGCCATTTTAATGCAACAGCTCCTGCTGGCCCCTCATCTCCTTTCTGTTTTCCTGGTTGTTTATTGTCTTCATCATTCCAACGCAGAGGCACGGAAGCAGACCAACACCAACCCTCCCCTGCCAGACACGGGGCCGGCCCTTCGTCTTCTCTCTTATGTTGTATTTCTAAGGTGCCTGTTCCCAGCATCTAGGAATTCTGTTTTCACACTCTGAGGGGTGTGAATCTGTCAACCAGAACAACCCTTCACTAGTTGTAAAGTAGTGCCATGATTCAGGAACTAATTAACAGCTATTAGATAATGCAATTAGCGCCACAAACTGCCATCCTACCCTAAGTATACCTTTCCTTTGTGAGTGTGAGCCATAAATGTCTAGCGTCTTCTGTTCCCTGTTTTTTCTCTCTCCTCTCCTCCTTGTGGTGGTGGCTGCACGAACTGCCCAGCCCCACATCACATCAGCAGTCTGACCTGACAGGATTAATCCCGTTAAGACTTTTACCCTCTCTGCACTTTTAGGAAGGCCAAGACAGGCAGGGGCTGGCAGTAGGGCTGCCTTGGCTCTTTCCAAATGTCACACCAAAGGTGATGTGCCCAGGCCCAGCCTTGGCACCCAGAGAGAGCAGGAGGTGATGTGTACCTTCTCCTGGAATGTGCCTGTGGTGCAGGGGGCCACCTTTCCTCTCTCCTGGAGACAGGCAGCTCCCAGACCCCCACAGGATCCATTCAGCCAGGAGCTGACAGCCACAGCCCCTCCATCCTATCCCTGGGCTCGAGGTTGCTTTCAGTTGTGCTGTTGCTCCAGACCCATGCAGGGTTAAAGCCCATTTCCTCTGGGAGCAGCTCACACTCGCAGGTGCCCACTAAAGCACGGTTTTCTGTGATTCCTCTCCCTTCCCTGTGACATCTCCCTCCCCAGGCTGCTGTGCGAGCGTGGGGCTTGCTTTATCCACGCGGCCGCGTGGGGTTCCTTGCAGAGCTCTGCTCGCTCCCAGAGGCAGAATGTCACTTCCACCGCATGCGGACCAGACATGGCTTTGCCCTGCCTTGCCTTGCACCTGCTCCCTGGGTATCCCCAGCCCTGAGGATGATGCTGGGATGGGGGCAGTGCCACAACAGCAAAGGAGACGGCTGGTGATGCCATGTGGGGCAGGGGCTGTGGAGCAGAGGGCGGCTGTGCAGTACAAAGAGAAGATGTGGGGAACACTGGGGCAGGAGGGCTGCTTGCTCCAGGAGCTCATCCATCACGCGAGTGTGTGTAAATGCCAGCCTCTCCCATTGCCTTTGCTGTGCCGTGCAGAGGGCAGCCAGCTCCTTCCACATCAGGAGCAGCAGGGGCGGGAGGGAACTAACCCCTCCATCCCACGTGGGCCGAGTGCTCAGCAGGTGCTCAGTCACGAATGCAGCCCATGGAACACCAGCCTCCAGCTGCTGCAGATTCTTGGTCACAGGGTGGTCACCAGCAGTCCATGACAGGGCTGTCTCCTCTCCTACCTGGCAAGAGGCTGAGGCAGCTTGTAGGAGCCGACAGGCTGGGAAGGCTGGCTGGTAAGGCACATGAGGCGCAGCAGGGAAACAGCAGGAGTCTGCTGCCGTGGTCTCAGGCGTCACCCTGTGACAGGGCACTGGCTTTGCTCTCGCTCTGGGGTTGACTCCTCGCACAAGAGTGGTCACACCCATGATTGCCGGCAGCAGTGGAGACCCTGCTGTGCCCACTGCCCGCAGTAGTTGGACCCCACCCAAATTACAATTTTCTCTGCTTGGATCTGTGGCTGTGTGGGAAGGGAAAGGTATTTCCCTTGATGACACAATTGGTGATCACTGCAGCTGCCACAGAAGCTCTTGGACTGGAGGATGGTATCAGTAAAGAGCTGGAGTCTCCCAAGGGCTTCGACAGAGAGGAGACAACCAGCTGTAAATCACTGCCAAAAGTCCTAGGGAATTTGCAAAGCCAGTTGGTGTCACAGGTAAGGGTGTCAGCCCTAGGAGCCCTTCTGAAGTGTTCTCTCAGCTTTGTCAAGGCTTGTCTCAAACAGGGGATTGCTTTATTTTTTGCTATTAGGTGAAGGCTTATCGAGATTAAGCGCTCAGTGTTTAAGCCCTCCCCCCGAGGTGGCAGCTGCCTCTGCCTCCTCACACCAGTTTGCAGCGTGACCTCTGGGTGGCATCCAAAGGCTCGCCTGAGGGGCTGCCGCGGCCTTTTCTCCCGTCTTGGGACACGTACAGAACAGTTCGGGCTTGAGATGGACTTTTCTTACTTTGGGTAACTGAGAACACAAGCCTCTGTCAAGGCTGATAATTAATTAGACAATCTTAGAAGAGGATGCCAGTTCAGGAACAAAAGTGAGAAAACTGAAACCCACATTTTAGCAGAGACGATGGAAAGGTTTCTTTTCAAGACTTTCAAATTCTTCTTGGAAGAGCTGGGGTAGATGTCTGCATGATTGCTAGCTTGTCTGATCAGTTTGATTAGCTGTTACAAGAATGACAGTTAAATCTCCCCATCTCACCAAAGTGAAGAAATTAAAACTCATTTCTATTGTGCTGAAACCACCCCCCAAACTGCCATGATTATATATTTCTAAGCCATTTTATACACTTATCACCTCTTCTCACATCCCTGGCTGGGTGCCCAGGAAGGATGGCAGCAGAAACCTCTTTCCATCTCCCTTGATGCATCCCTTGTGCTTGGAGCTGGGTGCAAATCTCCAAGCCTGGGCAGTGCTGCCAGGCTTCCTCACCCCATCTGTATGTGGCATGTAGCATCTACCAAAGGGCATTGCTTTCTTTTAAAAGCCTTTTGTCTTCACAGACATGCTTAGAGGATAATGGTAGGTATTTCTTTGTCCCTCACCCACTTATTTTCCTTGCACCTGTAAGAGGAGCTCCATCACTATCACAGCTGTATCCTTTCTAATGCAGAAGCTGCCTAAATGGCTACATCAGATCCTGGCTTTAGCATCTCAGCAGCCACATTTCCATTTAATTACACCTGTATCTCTTTAGAAAGTGCTTATATTAAAAACGTGGCTATTTGCTGATGGCAGACATCTCCTACCCTCACCACAAATGAAAGACAAGGACATTTCTTTTCAAATACTTAAAACAGACAAACAGATCTCAAAGCCTGCCAGGCCCTATTCAGAAGAGGTGTGTGTTAAAGGCACATTTATACATTCAGCAAAATCAGCTTCAGGAGTCCGGGGCATTTGGAGCCATCTCCCAAGCCAGAGACACACTGTGCTGAGCACTCCCACTGTGGGCACACTCGCTGGCTCCTGCTGGTTTCCTGGCAGCAGTGCCCATGGGGCTGAGCCCCTGCCCCAGGCAGCAGGAGCAGCTGCTGGAGGGGCTGCCCTCGATGGTCTGGCAGGGTTGGAATGCCCCCAGAAGCCAGGGTGAGGCTGGTGAAGGCCCAGCATGTTTTGGAGGTCTGGATGGTGTGGGAGAGGCAGGTTCAATGGAAAGCTCTTCTGTCCTGCCCAACTCCCTCAGTGCCTTTGCTTTTCTTTTGCTTTCCAGGAAACTCCCTTTCATCTCAATACAGCACTTCTTGCCTATTGATTTTTTTTTTAAAGTCCATTCCACTCTTACCTTGGGTGATTAACTACAGGCATCTTGGTTTGGATGAAGGCAGTAATTCTGTCCATAATTCTCATCACTTTTCATAAATAATTCCGTGTATCATGCTGAGGTGTCTGACTCCACACTGTACATCTGGCCTGGGTGGCTGCAGCTGCACTGTGATGTAGGACTGAGGGAAGAGGTCATTGCTTCCCAGCATCAGTGACTGATGGCACTTGTGCAGCTCCCTCCCTTTCCTGAGCCTGCTGTGCTGTGCGCTGCGCCACACCAGAGCACCCACCTTCAGCCTTTCTTGTCTTTTCAGCATCTGTATCTCAGCAGTGTCACCCTTTGGGCAGGGTCACCTCTGTTGGACAGGCTGGTGCCCTCAGTAAGATGTTGTGGGATGCACACAAGATGTGGTGTAACTTGCTGTTTTCCTTCTCCCAGATTTCATCTTCCAGAAGGAGCTATTTGCTGTGAGAGACACAGGTGAGCTGAGCAGACCATGGCACGGGTTTTACGGGTTAGGCTCCTCTTGGGGAGTGCTGTGGGGAGGTCAGTGGAACATGCCTGGGGTATACCATCACCCTGCTCTTGTCCCTGGGGCAGGGCACTGGCTCCATGCTGTGCTGTTCTGGCAGTGAGTGCTGTATGTGCATCCCCCCTGGCTCTGCAGTCCTCTTTCCCCAGCCCTTTGCCTCCCCTTTGTGCCTCTCTGGGCATTCCTGCTTTTCTCCCTGCAACTCATTTGCCTCCTCTACTGCTAAATAGGGACACAAAAAATGCCTCCAATGGACTCCTGGAGTGGCAGAGTGGAGTCCAGGAATGCCAGCAGATTTTTGAGCACTAGTCAACAGCAGTGCTGGCCTGGGAAACTGAGGAAATGCTGCCAGGACAGGCTGGCAGGTCTGATATTCTCCCTTTCTGTCCTCGCTCTCCTTGCAGATCCCATGCACAACCTCTCTGCTCAGCCCTGGCAGGCAAAGATGGCCAACCTGACCTATGACAACTTCACCCTGGGCAACCACTCCGAGGTGGCCGTGCAGCCTCCCACCAACTACAAGACAGTGGAGCTGGTTTTCATTGCCACTGTCACCGGCTCACTCAGCCTTGTCACCGTGGTGGGGAACATCCTGGTGATGCTCTCCATCAAGGTGAACCGCCAGCTCCAGACTGTCAACAACTATTTCCTCTTCAGCCTGGCCTGCGCAGACCTCATCATCGGGGTCTTCTCCATGAACCTCTACACGGTCTACATCATCAAAGGCTACTGGCCACTGGGGGCCGTGGTGTGCGACCTGTGGCTGGCTCTGGACTATGTGGTGAGCAATGCCTCTGTCATGAACTTGCTCATCATCAGCTTTGACCGGTACTTCTGTGTCACCAAGCCCCTGACATACCCGGCCAGGAGGACCACCAAGATGGCAGGGCTAATGATCGCGGCCGCGTGGATATTGTCCTTCATTCTCTGGGCCCCTGCCATCTTGTTCTGGCAGTTCATTGTGGGCAAGAGGACAGTCCCTGAGAGGGAATGTTACATCCAGTTCCTCTCCAACCCAGCGGTGACATTTGGCACAGCCATTGCTGCTTTTTACCTGCCCGTGGTCATCATGACGGTGCTGTACATCCATATCTCCCTGGCCAGCAGAAGCAGGGTAAGGAGGCACAAGCCTGAGAGCAGGAAAGAGAGGAAAACCAAGTCCCTCAGATTCCTCAAGGGCCCCACGGTCAAACAGAATAACAATAATTCTCCCAAGAGGGCCGTGGAGGTGAAGGAGGAGGTGAGGAATGGGAAAGTGGATGACCAGCCATCTGCACAGACAGAGGCCACTGGCCATCAGGAGGAGAAGGAGACATCCAATGAGTCCAGCACTGTCAGCATGACCCAGACCACAAAAGACAAGCCCACAGCAGAAGTCTTGCCAGCAGGGCAAGGACAGAGTCCAGCCAACCCCCGGGTGAACCCAACTTCCAAGTGGTCCAAGATTAAGATTGTCACCAAGCAGACTGGGTCTGAATGCGTCACCGCCATTGAGATCGTCCCAGCTAAGTCAGGTGCCTCTAACCACAACTCCTTGGCCAACAGCCGCCCAGTCAATGTTGCCAGGAAGTTTGCCAGCATCGCCAGGAGCCAGGTTCGGAAGAAGCGCCAGATGGCTGCCCGGGAGAAGAAAGTCACCCGCACCATATTTGCCATCCTGCTGGCCTTCATACTCACGTGGGCACCCTACAACGTGATGGTCCTCATTAACACCTTCTGTGAGACCTGCGTGCCTGAAACAGTGTGGTCCATCGGCTACTGGCTCTGCTATGTCAATAGCACCATCAACCCAGCCTGCTATGCCCTCTGCAATGCCACTTTCAAGAAAACCTTCAAGCACCTTCTCATGTGCCAGTACAGGAACATTGGCACAGCCAGATAAACTGGTACTCAGGGACCACTTCAGTATCCTTATGGAAACCCTTCCCTTTGCCTCCTTTGCCAGCGGGGGTTCTTCTGCTCACCACTCACAACAGTGCAGACTATGCAGTGATTGCAGAGGATGCCCTTCATCCAACGCTGACAAAAATCCAAGGCATTTCTGAGCTACAGGTCCTTCCAGTCACCCTGGGCCTGGGGACTAGCTCAGGGAGCCAGGGAGAAAACCAGAGGCAAGAGGAGATGTGGTCACCAGGAGCCCTTCCCAGCTCCATGCTCTTCAGATTGGCCAAATGGCATCAGTGTTTCTCCTAAGACTGGATGTACCTTTTTCCCCAGCTGACCATCTCCATGGCATCAGATCTTGTCTGCATGCAGATGGGCTAATGCTGGATGCTTTCCATTGGCTTATAAAACGTTTATTACCCAAGAAATGAAAAGAAACCAGGGTCAAACATTGCTAGACATCTTGGACCAGGCTGACTCAGGCAGGCTAATGGGGAGTCCTGCTGGCCCAGGCAGACCCCCTGTGAAGGCAGTCAAGATTGGACCCTAACAGATGTGGCAAGATGCTTCCTTTCCCTTGAGAGTGCCATCAGACATCCTCACCCAGGGTCCTGGGGCAGAATTTTTCCCTGGGCTCTGGCTCTGCTCTCCCCCTCACATCCTTTCTGCCCTCAGACAGCAATTTGCTGGAAAGACAGACAGATAAACCAAGCATTTCACTCCTGGGTAAGGAGTGTGAAACCCAGTTGCCCCCGACAATGATGGAAACTAAAACTGGAAAGAAAAGCCCTGGTGTGGTGCAGGACTTCGTTCCACAGCCCTGGGGGAATGGGGACCCTGAGTAGTGGGCAGCAGTGACTGTGAAAATAACTGTCCTTGGGAGAGACAGGGGGGACCTGGGGGTCTCAGAAGGGTGGGAAGAGGGTCTACAGTGTGGCCAAGGGGCCCCGTGTCTCATCTGGGCCATGAGCAGGTCCCCGCTCTCCCTGCAGTGGGTGTGGGAGGCCTAATGCATGGCTCTGGAGGCAGGAGAGGATGACGGTGGCCTCCAGCCCCCTCGTGCCCTGAGTGCAGGGGGCTCCTGCAGGGAGGCCAAAGGAGCCAGTTGCTGAGCTTTGTTCATGGATGTAACGCTGTCATGGGTGTTGTGGCAGAGCCCTCAGCATGCGGGCTCCAGCCTCCTCCCAGCCACCCCTGTGTGCAGCCCAGAGCGCCCTGGGGCTGCTCCCCAGCTTCTCCCAAAGCCGGGTGCAAGCCTTCTCCTTGCAGCCAGGTGCAGGCAAGGGATGGGATGGGGCCGCTCTAGCACGGGCAAACTCTGTGTCCATATGTCCTTCCTGTCCTCATGCCAGGGTGCAACCTGCAGAAAGGCTGCCCCAGCCCAGATGGGAGCCCCTCCATCACTGCCTTTAGGGGTACCCAAAATGCCTGGTGGGTTTCTGGGTATTTTTAAATGGTTACAACTGCAGCCCAACACACCCCAAGACAAATAAAGACCTTGGACCAGGAAACTAATGTCCATGGTGCGAGGAATGAATGAGTCATCACCCGGGTGGCTCCTTCCCTGCTTCCCAGTGTCACCCACTGGTGACATTTCCTGCAGCCCATTCCTTCTGCCAAGAGTAAGGGGTGGCAACTAGAAGCGTTGCAAAGAGGCTGTGAGGGGTCTGGTGCTTTGTCCAGGACCATGTGCATGTGGCACCCAGGCCAGCTGCATGGTAACTTCACTGCTGGCACCAGTGGGGTCAGCAAAACTGGGGTTTGCTGGGGTTTCCAGCACAGCAGCACCTTGTGGGACAACAGGGGAATTCTGATACTTTTTTAAAAAAGATTTTTATTGGAAAAGAAAAAGAAAAATTCCAAAAGGAGAGCTCCCACCCAGCACTGGTGGTGTCATGGCAAAGGCAGAGGGACTGCAGCCCCAGCATGGACACACATGAGAGGAGACACAGTTGCTTCTCAGGGTGATGGTTGTGTTTTCCTCAGCTGCTGTGGGTAAGTCATGCCCCAGCCAAAGGGATGCTGAAATAAACCCCCTGAGGTGAGAGCAGTCCTTGAGTGAGAAGCTTCAGTGATGGGGTTACTCAGGCATTCAACGCCCAGCCCTTCCCTCTGGCACTGGTACCTGGTGGAGGAGCAAGCAGGTTCCTGGGCTTGCAAAAGTATGTGCTAAAGGCAACTCATTTGTGCTGGAGGGTGGAAAAATGTGTGTTCCATCCCAGCTCTCTGAGCACATCCCAGTGAACCCCAACAGCAGCCCAGAGGAGGTGAGCAGGATGCACAGGTAGTGCCCATGGGGCAGCAAGGAAGGAGGCAGCCTATCCTGCAGGGTGGGTGGGTTTGCTCTCTACAACACTAATGATTAAAACAAGGCATCTCAGTGAAAGAGGAGGTCATGGGAAGGAGTAAGGAGAGGAGGAGGAAGACTGTAGTGTGGGCCAGCTACAGCTGGACATCCAGTCCTGTAGGCACCGTGTTGAGGGGCCGATGAGGATGCTGGTTTCCTGCTCTAGTCCTTCCCCTTGCCCTTCTTTGCTGCATTCAAGAAGCACAGGAGACAAAAGTTAGTGCATGTGCTGGCAGCTCACAGTCCCCCAGACACTGCTGTGATAGAAATGTAGCCAGCATGGCTGGCTGAGCACGGCGCAGTGGCTGCGTCCCTGCAGGCAGCCTCCTGCCATGCCAAACCACCTTTTGTACCAGTCCTAGTGAGGAGAGCAGGGAATCCCCATCCCACCAAAGATGGCAGTGGGTTTTGGGGGACCACGGTTTTTCCTAGTAGCACCTCCCACCCTGCCAGCAGCTGGACTTCACAGTGCAAAGGAAAGAGCATCCAGCAAAGCCAACCCCAATAGGCCAAGGTACCTCTGAAAAACCCCCGGGCAGGGTTGCCACAGGACCCTTCTGGGGACACGAGTGGTGGGAACTGACCTTTGGACTTCGACTTGATCTTGGAGGAGCAGGGCTTGGTCACATAGACAGTCTCCTCACACTGGGCATTGTACAGGGCTTTCTTCAGGATTCCGGAGCGAGTCTTCAGGCCAGTCTGAGCACTGCAGCCTCCCCAGCTCTCAAATTTGTACTTGCAGTCAGCTGGATGAGAGGGGAGAGGCATCAGAACTAGCCAGGACCTGGTGGGACATTAACCTGGTCACCCAGCACAGGGTGGTCCCCACCTCCATGTACTCACCTCCAAATTTCTTCTTCCAGTTGCAGGGGATCTTGCACTTGAGCTTCTTACTCTCACCTTTGCAAGTTCCCTCGCGGTAGCCCAGGCCACAGTCCTTACTGTTGGGAACACAGGGTCCCCAGCGCCAGTCCTCGCACTTAGAGCCATCCTTCTTTGTCTTTTCTGTGCGGAAAAGTGGAGTGAGTGCTCTCTGCAGGGACAGGGGAGCGTGCCCCACTCTGCCCCCCTGCCCCAGGCTGCCCCTCACCTTTCTTGTTCTTGCCAGCCTCGGCGGTGGCGGCCACCAGGATCAGCACCAGGAGGAGGAAGAGACTCCGAACCTGCATCCTGCCTGTGGAGGAAGGAGAGAGTTGGGTGGGTTGGAGGCTGGGGTGCAATGTGGTGTCGAGGAGGGGCATGGTGGGCTGTGGGCAGCCTGTATAAGACAGGAGTAGCACACACCACCTACATGCCTGTGTACACCCCTGTGCCCTGCTTGGTGCCACCCAGTAGAATATGTTCACTAATTGCAAAAGGAGGATTAATTGTGTACCTCAACAACTGCCTCCCACCAGGGAGCTGCAGGGCTGAGAGATTGTTCCCACCCCTGCAGCCACCCCAACGTCCTGTATGTGGTCGAAATGCTCTCCATGGGAACCCCACAGCCCACACAGCATCTGGGGAAGGACATACAGTTGCCAGCCCTTACCCTCATATTTCTCTGTGAATCCTTTATCCATGACCCAGCAGGCTGCTGCCCCATATCAAAGAGCCTTGGGGCCAGGGAACACAGCTCCCACAGTACCTTACTCCAGTTCCAGAGGATGCCAGGGAGAAGGAAAAAAGCCCAGGAAAACAAACCTGCTTTCATGAGAGGTCTGAAAGTTATATCAGTGGATTAAACACCAAAAAAAAAAAGCATCCATCAATGTGGGAGCTCATTGGAGGGATGGAGCCTGCTGCCCATGCCACCCATGCATGCAGGGGGTGAGCAGGTGTGCACACACTTGGGAGCAGGTTGGGGACAAGGGCGCACACACATAAGGGTTCCGCTCTGGGGATCAAGCCCTGTCCCTCTGCCCCGGTGGCCTTGGACCATGTGACGGCTCCTCTCTGGCTGCCACCACAAGACTCTGGGGGATGGTGCTGCCCACACTGGGCTCCCAGATCCTGCTCTCAGTGGGAACAGGAGTTCAGGCATGCAGAGCCAGCATTTGAAATCTGGAGACGCCATTCCTGTTCCCCCACAGCCTTCTAAGATGCCACCCATATCTGTGTGGCAGCAGCCATCCAGAAAATACACAGCACCTGCCCTGACTCTGTGATGGGCTTTGCAGAACTGGGCTGTAGAGGACAGGATGAACCACAGGCCCCAGGGGACATCAAGGAAGAGAAGAGCCCCGGGTCAGCATTTGATCCCTCCCCTGGGCTCCCTGGGCAGCATGCCAGAGAGAGCAGCATCCCACATTACTCATGGTCCAGTGCATTCACCTTTCATGCATCCGCCGCCAAGCTACCAGCTTTGCTCTGCATTGAGCTGTCACAGGGAATTACACAGAGTGGCTGGCTGAGGGCACAGTCGTGGGGCTGAGATCTGCCTTCCCCCTCACCCAGCCCGGCTGGGAGCCATCCTGGCGAGCACAGCACAGCTCAGCTCTGCTCCCACCCATCTGCCTTCAAAGGGGACAAGGGCTCAGCCAAGGTAGGCTGGTTACAGATGACAAGGCTGGAGCTGAGCTGACTTACACACATGGCTGTCTCACTTTCTGCAGCGGCTCTTAGGGGGTAGTTCCTCTGACATCCACATTATTCACACCATCACCCTGGTTTCACGTGTTCTGTTAACTTCTCCCATCCTTTGCTGCAGAGCATTTCCCTGTGCTCCTTGCACCTACCTCCCATCCCTCCCACCAACCTTCTGCTCAGGCCCTTCTGACATGGTCTTCTGCAGGGCAGACAGCTACAGCTGCTGTGCTCATCCCTGTCTCACCTCCAGGCATGGACTCCCTCTGTTTGCCACGGGCGCAGTGGGGCCCTGCCCACATAAATGGAAGGATGCCAGAAGGATACCCTCTGAGGGGGTGACAGCTACAGCCCCAGCGACCCCTGAATTTGCTCCCAGGATCAGCCCAGCTCATCACCTTCCCCAGGCAAAGGTCTGCAGGGACCTTCAGTCGTGGCTCATCCTAAAGCATTCATAAGGAAAAGGGAGTGTAGTTTTCCAACTGGTTTTCCAAACAGCCAGGCAAACAGGAGTTTTTTCTGGCTGGGCTGACAGCATCTTCAGGCACACTCGCACAGCCCTACTCCTCCTGCGTCCCTGCGGGGCCCTGGCTTCTCCTCAGATGCTGGCTGGCTCACATAACATCAGTCTCTGCTCTCCCTTCCCCCTACTCCAGCTGCTCTGGGTTTTTATGATCTAGATTAGCTCTAAAAAGAAAAATTAAATCACCTGGTGAAGCTGAAGGTCTAAAAAGAAAAATCACCCGGTGAAGCTGGAGCAGAGCTCAAATACCCACTATTGCAATGGGAAAGCTTGGACCTCTCTCCGGACACCGTTCCGGGGCAGGTAGTGCCATCGACTTCTCCTAATGCGGCCCACACATCCTCCGCAGCTCCTGATCCCGCAATGCTGACCCCATGCGCTCCCGAGAACGGAGAGGGGCCGGGCTGTCCGCCCCCTCACAGCCCTTGTCCAGAAGTGGGACCTCTCGGCTTGGCTCAAATTGCAGCTGGCTCTGGCGGTGGTGGGCGCAGGGCTGCTGTCCTCCCTCTGCGGGCTGAGCTGCTTCCCAGCCTCCGGGCAGGCAGCCCGGCACCCGAGGAGCCAGCCCAGCGCTCGGGAAGCCCGTGGCCTGGAGCGACAAGCACCGCCACAGTAGGAAGTTCCCTGCTGCCTGGAAAGGGGACACCGAGCGTGTGGCCGTGAGCCAAGGCGTTGGCACGGCCGGGAGGCTTTCCTAGAGGTGCTGAGGGAAGCACGGGGGCTGTGGGGCTCTCCAGCAGGCGGCCTCACCTTCCCCTCGCTGTGAAGAGAAGGTGCTCCAAGGGAAAAGTGTTCTGCCCCAGCGCTGAGGGCAGAGAGAGGAGCAGGCAGCGCCCTTCCGCACCTCTGCTCTCTGCTCCCTCCTCAGGGCAGATGCTGTGCCGAGAGCCCCGTAGAGCCTTTCCCCCGCCCTCCAGAGAGGCGGGCGGTGGTCGATCCCTGCTCCGGGGCAGCTCCCCGGGCTCCGATCGGAGGATCTCCACCAGCTGAGTTCTCCCCGAACCAGTGTGGGGTGCTTCCCCAGAGGAATGGTGGGGGTAGGATACTGGGCCACTGACTCAACCCGTCTGCTTTCCAGGAGCCCTGACTCCCCACCGAACTCCTTCCTTCTGCATCTCCAGGCTCTTCCGTGGCTCCTCTCAGACGATCCCGCACCGGGGGGCACCGCCCCCCGTCCTTCGGCCCCAATTGCCCTTTCCTGCAGGTCCTCCCCAGCCGGAGCCTATCCCCCACCCCGGCAAAGCCCCTTCCCGCTCCGGAGAGCCCTCAGCCTGGATGACTGCCGCCTCCCTGGGGAGGTGACGGGCGGTCGCCGCTCGCCTCGCCCGGGGCGCCCATCTCGGTGGGGCCCGACCCCGAGAGCTGTGCGTGTGTGCGGGGCCGCACTCACCTGCGGAGCGGAGCGGAGGGCGCGGAGCTGCTGCCTTTGTGTGGCGGCCGCGTGCGGAGCCCCGCGCGGCGCACAGCGGCCCCTGACGTCGGGCTCGGCTGGCAGCAAAAAGGTGGGTTTTTAGCCCAAAACTTTTGCAAGCTCCTCCTCTGCCCCCCGGCAGGCACAAAGGCAGGAGGAGGAGGGGCGGCCCGGGGGTAGGCTGGCCCCTCGGCCGCTGGGGCGGGGGCAGCCGGGGCCCCTCGGGCGGGGGTGAGCTGGGCCCGGGCAGCGTCAAGTCCCGCGGGGCACGGCTCCTGTCCCTTGTCCCCTCTCATCTTCCTGCTGTGCTCTCCAACCCGTGCCCGCGGTGCGGTACCAGGGAACCTGTGCGGGTTCAGGTGACCATGCACCCCAACATCAACGAGTGGCCAAGGGTGCACAACTGAAAGCCGAGCAGCGTCTCCCCTGGGGGCTGCTCCTCTGAGTTCCGATGGAAGCTGGCCCCGGGGGCATCCCCGCACCTCGGTGGAGTAAAGGGAAGCCACCCTGTGTCTCTACCAGCGCCGTGGATGCCGCCTCCATCAAGGCCACTGGCATCAATGGACAGACCTTTCGTAATCTCTGCCCTTTTCACCCTTCTCTGCTTGCTCTGCCCCTCGTGGGAAGTTGCCAGAAAAAGGGTACATCACTTACATACTGTCCCAAGCATCTCCCCAGTTCTGTCCCTTGTGACCCCCCGCCTGTCCCCAGGTCAGATGTGCTGCAGTCCTTGGACCAAGCAGTGGTATCTGACTGCTGGTGGGGGATGAAAAGGACCGTGCAGATGTGACTGCTCCTTTCCCCATCCACCACCTTTTCTTGGGAGGTGAGCAAGGCAGCAGCAAAGCCAATTCCTTCTTGGAGTTAGCAGCCAGAAAGGAGAGTGTCATGCAAGAAAAATGGGGCTCTGGTAGGGAATGGAGTCATTTCTCCACCTCTTATCCTGGAAGAAGTCTGCTGAGAACAGGGCTGGCACAGGTGGGGTTGCAGGGCGGGGCTGTTTTTTATGAGCTGCTTCGAAACCAGGAATCACTTTCCAAGAGAGTGCCACATTTAATTGCTAGACTGCCAGCAGTTTCCTAAACATCTGCAGAGGTTTTGAGGAGAGCTGGTAAATGTGGGAACATGTAATCTCCCCTTCCTGCTGCACGCACAGCAACAGGTACTGCTCTGTGTAGTGAGGGATCAGGAGATGCCAGGCTGTAGGTTTGAGCCCAGGATGCAGAAATGGGTCTTGATAGCTGGGCAGGTAGCAAAGCCAGTAACCTCCCACCATTGCTAGGCCTTTAAACTCAATCTGAAGAAAGCTGCTGAGACAAATTTCAATGTACAAAAGAAGGACCTAGGTGTACATCAGGTTTGCACGTCTGAACCAGGAGACTGTGATGAGCAAAGCAAGGCCTATAGAAATGTAAATGTTAAAGAACTAGTTGGGGTGCAAGCACTACTGCTTCTCTTCAGTTGTTTCTGGCCAGGAGCTGAAGATCTCACTGGAGTCCCCAGGGCACAGCAGCATAAGGTACAGTGAAGCCCTGTGTGGATTTTCACTCGTTCCAGGGGACCAGGAGACAAGGGCTAGCTATGTGAGAGAGCAGAGATGCATTGGTGCACATCACTCAGCAGTGACTGTGCTTGGTCCCTTTGGACTCCTTCCCCAGCTCAAATTAGCAGCAAAAGGCCTTGACTGCAGAAAAGAAGCCTCATACTGAGGAAAGGAGGAAAAAAGAGGGAGTGTGACCAACCCAGGTGCATTTCCCTGCAATTGGTTAACTTGAGCTTTTAAACTTGAGCTCTTAAAATGTCACAGTCTAATTCATTGCATATCAGCTCTGCATTTTCCATGTCTGGTCAAAGCCTGGTCCTTCGAGAACTGGTAGTGGATGTTGCTGCAGTGTCAGTGCATGGATGCAGCCATGCATGGGAGAGGAACGATCTTTTCCTTGTTGAGGTGTATGCTAGGTAATCATTAACAGGGCCCACAGCTGTCACCCCAGCTCTGCTTAGCTGGGGCTGGGCTTGCATTGCTTTCTCCAGCCTGCACACATGCCTACACCCCCAGGTGTGCTTCCATCCCACAGGAGGGCAGACAGACCGCTGAAGCCCCAGCACCTGACTGAAAAGGAGAAAGAGGAGATGTTGACACCCTTTGGAGAGAAGGGCAGGACTCTGCCCCAAAGGTACACTGCCCCTCTTCCAACACTCCTCATCAGAGTGATCACATAGCAGGACTGCTTTCTTCCCCACGGTATATTTGACACTGGGGCGGCCGGAAGACTCCGATCGCCATGGTTACTGACAGCCTCCCTGCTGAGATGTGGGCCAATTGCCAGCATGCTGGGGTCTGGGCACTGAAGCAGAGCGGGCCCACTCCTCCCAGTTCCACGTACACCTGGTCCCTGGGGAGGCCAGGACAATTTGGTGTGCCTTACACCTGCTACTGATCCTCACTATTAGCTCTGGGCAGGAGCTGAAGTTTGAAGACCATGAAAGAGAGGCACAGTGGGGGTGGAAGGCACAATGCAGGCAGGGAAGGCAGCTGCTTCTCCGGGCAGAGAGGGGCTGGCAGGAGCACTAGGCAGGCAGCCAAACTGCCCCGAGAAATACAAGTCTGAGGTATGAGTATAGCTCCTCATCACCCACTGGCTCCATCACCAGCACACCATCAGCCACTGCAATTACCTCCTTTTTCAAAGAAAACTCCACAGGATAGAAGTGTGTCGGCCACAGTCATCCTTATGAGTCTGAGGCTGGAAGCAGAAGTGTCCCTAATCCTCTGCTTTTGTAACCAGAGAGCAGTCCTTCCACCAGAGTGGCAGAGATAATCCCTGCTCTCACTGCTCAGCACTGGAGGCAGAAGCGCAAGACTCCCTGCTGGAGCTGGAAATGAATAGGAAGAGCCTCCGGCAGGCTCATCTCCCGCAGAGCAGCGTGGCTGGGGACAGCTCACCACAAAAAAAAGGCCAGCAAACATTTTGAAACTGGAGGCTGGATGCTGCTGCAGTATCCACTGACAGCTGTGGCAGCTGCTGGGGCTGCTGCCTTTGCCCCAAGGAGCAATAGCAGGCTGCTGACTCACACTTCCAAGGCCTTCTGGGTCACTTGGGAAGGCAGCGCACTTTCTCCTTTTCCCACATTATACTGAGCGTTGATGTATGATGCAGAATGGAGGAGAAGGTCCCTCAGGACAAAGAGCCTGTGTCTAGCAACAGTCCCAGAAGGATGCTGTGCTAGGAAGTGAACAAGGACATGGGCCAGCAGAACTCCCAAAAGTACCCCCAAGTTTGGACAGGGGCAGAGGCCTTGGGATCCAACCTTGTTTGTGCCATGCAGGGCATCTGTTGTGCAGTGCCTGCCGCAATCTTGCAGATGCAGCAAGGAGACAGGAACTAAAACATCAATCTCTTTATTACAATGGCAAGAAACAACAACATCCAAACGGTCAAAGTTGAAAAGAAATGGGAATACAGGCTCATGCCAGGCCCTGGGCCAGCTGGAGCCAGCACCCTCACATAATTACAAAAATACAATCCTACAACAGTGTCTAAGAAACACAGACCCAGGTATTGCACAGAACCCCTGCCCTCAGGGAGCAGGGAAACCAACACCCTCTCCTTCTTCACCAAAATATAAGCAGGCTTGGAATTGCACAGCAACTCAGCTCACAGGTGCACGGAGGGGCTAGGCAGGGGGGGGGACAGTGTGTCTCTCAACTACCTGTACAAAAAACTATAAGGGAGAAAGGGAAAAGCTGAGGCTTAAATGCCTCTGGGCCAAGTTGGGCATTCTGTCTAGGGCAGCAGTGGTGTGGACCTCTGACAAGTGACAGTGCCTTGTCTGTTAGTGGCCTGCCAGCAGTGCTGCTGAGAACTCCAGGCACTTCTGGAGTGTCCCAGCTGTCAATGCACTAGCACACTATCATTATTACTTGCCAATACTGACACTGGCCCCTGGGCACCCTGCACTGCCCTGTGCCTCTGCTCCCCAGTACAGCATTCCCATCCTTCAAGGAAACCCTGCCCCTGGACAAAAAGTCTGAAGGGTATTCTGGTTCCCTACAGTGTCCTCATACCCTTTTCTTGGTACTAGGAGGGATTCAAACAGTGCCACCCAGCATGACCCAGTGGGCACAGCTGCATGTCAGTGCAGAGGGACTGCACAGACCACGCATGGCAGCAGCAGTAACCTCTCCTAGAGCAAAGATGTGAACAGCAACCCCCTTCAAAACCACTGCCCACCCAAAAGTGCCAAGCAGGTCTGCTAGGCTCAGAGCCATCAGCTTTCCTCCTCTGTGGGTACCTCCTGGTCTCAGAGACTCAGTTCTGCAGAAGCCTTGCTTAAGGCCTGGCTTGATGTCTTGGCATCAAGTGCTCACAGCATCAACAGGGGAGATGGATTGTGGTGCCTCATGCCCCATGGCAGGCGATTTGTGAAACTCCATCCCACTGTAGGCATGACTCAGGGCTAGGAGCCCTGATGGCTCCTGGGAATCCAAATCCTTCTTTCTACTAAAACTGGAGAGGGCGAGTTCATGGTCTACCCAGGTGGGTTGGTCAGCTCCCTGCAAAGCCCTGTGCCCAGTCTGGGGAATAGCAGGAGTCAGCCTAAGAGGATGCATGTTGCCAGGTTGGGGGGCAGGAGGGGATCCCTGAGAGCAGCACTGACCCCAGCACTGCCCATCCAGCTTCATGCAAAGTCTAGCATCGAGGGGGAAACTGAAGCAAGGAGGGCAGCTGAATCTAACTCAGCATTTGGGAAATACAACAGACATCACTGCTGCCACTGCACCAGCTGAGTGCAGCTCTCCACCATCCTGCAGCTGGCTCACAAAGAGATGCTCAGCAGAGTGGGTGTGCAAACTGTTCCACCCAGCCCCATGGAGAGAAGCGTGGTGGGAGGGTTTGGTAGCCTTCCTCCATTCCATCCCAGCCCTGAGTCAGACTGCTGACTGAGCACTAAAGGCCCATCAGGAGAGCACCTGCTGCTCTACTTCCAGCTGCACCAGACCCAGATGCTCTGAGGAAAGTCTGGATGCACAAGTGACTTCCCTCCTGCTGCAGAAGGCAACACAGAGACCTGGTGCAGCCCCAGGAGGGAAAAGAAAGCAGGGCAAGTAAGTTGTGGTGCTTCCTTTGGGGCAGTCTGTGGCTCACAGCCTCTGCAGTCTGTCCATGCAGCCTGTGCCTCCCACAGCTGTGCCAGACAGGAGAGGAGGAACAGGACACAAACCTAGCCAAGCACCTGAAAGAGGGGCACTGCCAGCAGAGAGAAGGACTGAGCAATGATATCCCATAAGGATTATAGGTAGGAGCCTGTGGAGAGGGCACTGGAATTACTCCCATGAAGGGTGACTGGAGGCTTCAGCCTGGCCTGCTCCAACATGGCTGGAGGATAGAGCCCACCTAGGGCAGGGAATGTGGTGAATGAGAGGTGAAGAGCACACACAAAGAATCAGGCTTCAAGTCTGAAATATCCATTGTCCTCATAAACAGAGTTCTAGCCTGCCTGGGGCAGAGCTCTTCTGTGTCCATCTCCAGGGAGCAGGCTGGCATCTGGGGAGGGTTGGGCCAGATACAGCTCTGCAGTTGGCATTGTACTCTTCTCATCCTGAAAGAGCTGGCTCGGGCTAAGGCACGCCAAGCACTACACAGCTGTCTCCTGGTCCTCCCGCTGGATCATCTGGTAGTGCTGTCGGTTCTCGAGGTAGGCAGCTAAGTCAGGGTCATTGGCCTTCTCAGCACGGTGCTTCGGGGTGTCTCCCTGCGCAGGGGAGGCGACAAGTCAAGAGCGCCGAACGCTGCCTAAAGGCTGCTTTGGCACCCAAGGGCGTCCCCATTCCCCCGTGTGGCTGGGTCCAGCAGAGCCTGCAGCCAAACCCCAAGTCAGGTGGCAGCCAAATGTCCATGTGCTCACCGTGGGATCAAAGTGTGCTCCTGAGCAGCATGACTACGGCAGGCCTGGGAGCTGTCCCCTGAAGGGCCATCAGCTCCAGGCCTGGGCTAGGACATGACTGACCCCGGGCAACATAAGTCACCCAAGAAGAGATAAAGGCTAGTTCCCCTGACCGGCTCTTCCCCTGTGCTGGGGAGGCAGGCAGGAAAGGGTGAGGAATGAGGGGTATGTCTGGGGAATGCCCAAGCATACCAACCCCCCTTCCCTCTCACAGCCTGGCTAGCGTGCTCCAGCTCCCGAAGGAGGATCACATTTCACCCGCTTATTGCAGCCATCTGGATTGTGTCCACTAATGAACTCCCGCACTCCATAAAAAGCAAATCTGTTAACAACTCCCAGCCCTGTCTTCTCTCCCCCTTCCCTCCCCCTGCTCCTTGCTCCACCTCTCCAAGTGCCCAGGCTCTGCTGTGCCACTGAGAAAGGCCACAGAAACCTGGCGCTCTGCCGCTGCCATTGAAAACCAGCCCTGGAAGGGACACCCATCCTGCCCAGCTCATCCCCTGGTGCACAGCAGGGCACAGGCAGCTGCAGCAGTGTGCCGGGGCCTCTGAGCAGCCCCCAGCTATATTTCTCCATCAGGAACAATGGTCAGACATGCAGAGTCCTCCGCTGGGCCTGGATGTGGCTGTGCAGAAAAGCCCATCCATGTGTGGCTGCAGAGAGGTATCATGCAGCAAGAAATATTCTTGGGATGTGCACCCCAAGACTGTGAACACCCCGTGGTCCTGCACACAGCCCGCAGCAGCCACACCATCAGGGGATGGAGATCACTCTGTGCTTTGGTGCTGGCTCTCCTTGATGGCCCCCTCCCCACATCCCCTGAATGCAATCACTCATTTAACAGAGGAGGAATTAAGCTTCTTTCCTGTTCCCCTGCAGAAGCCCCTCTGCATCACTGCCTGCCTGCAGCCTGAAACCGGAGCTGCCAGGGCCTTCCTGCCCAGCTGGGCTGAGGCACTCCAACTGATAAGGCTCAGGCTCCCTCACCACTGCATAGCGGGATCAGTCTGCTCCAAACCCCTGCTACAGGTCTGCTGCTAGGGTTTCTAATGAGGTGGATCCTGCTTGTGCAGGCAGGCTGTGACCCTGAGCCCCTGAGAGGTCAGTGCAGCAGCACAGCGGGGTCCCCAGGCAGCCACAAATCCGACATGCGACATGCTTTTGCACAGGCACGTGCAAACCCGTTCCCTGAGGCAGCCGCGTGCCTGAGCAAGGCTCCCTTTTGAGCTGGCAGGCTGGGGGCTGTTCCTCTCCTTCAGGAAAATGATGGGGCTGGGAACAGAGAGGGGCCATGCACCCCAAACTGCCCTCTCCTCTTGTCTCTGCCAGCTGAGTCTCCATTTAGGCCAGTCCCACTCTGGGCACTGTGCAAGGCCTAAGCCTTAGACAGGACCAAGGGAGAGATGGGGAGCCAGAGATTATCTGTACTGCATTCTCCTGGCAGCTGGCAAACAGGAACGTGCATTGTCTAAATCAAACCCCAAGCTTCACCACCGCCAGTACCCCTCAACTGGGCTCCTAATGGGTGTCCCAGACCCACAGATTGTACCTTCTTGGCTTGTTCTACATCACCTCTGCTACAGCCCATCACTACAAGCCTCCACCAGAGAGATCTGACCACATCCTCTCTGCCATATGCCAGCCCTGGGAACCTCCTGTACCAAAATATGGCCCCAAGCCCTCCCCTTTTGCATCTCTTCTGCCAGGGCTGGCACAATTCCCTGACACTAAGGCACAGCTCAATTAACTCAGCATGTGAGGGAAAGTGCTGCAACTGCTTGCTCCTGCTCCCCACAGGCCGGCTTCACCCACCAAGAGGAGCTCCCAGATCCCCCATCATGACTGCTGGTGGGGGAGAGCACTGGAGTCCTGCAGCTGGGAGGGAGAATGTCCTTGCTCTAACCCCTGAGGGTGGGAAGGGGGAGACTGGGATGAGACATTCCAGCCCCTTGCTGCTAATTTAATAAAACAACAGGGAGAGAAGCACTAGGAGAAGAGGAATTTAACCCCTCTGTAGCTGGGCTCTACTGGACAAGCATAGGTACTCCATCTGAGCTCCTCTCTGATTGGCAAACACCTCACCCAAATCACCCCTGCTCTGCTCCCCTGCTGGTTCTGCTCCTTGCCAGCCCTCTGGTCACCCTAGAAAGCCCCACTGCCACCGTTCCCACTGTCACCTGCAGGTCTGTCTTCATGAGCGAGGCCCCAGCCTCCACGATGTAGTGGCAGATAGTGCGCTGGCGTAAGGCTGCAGCCTGGTGCAAGCTGGTTTCACCGCTGAGGAGGAGAAAGCAGGAGATGTGAGATGTCCCCCTGAACAGGGACAATCAGCACATGCAGGTGGCAGCAAGGGACAGAGCAATTCAGCGGCAGCAGCAGCTGATGGTAAGTTGTGTGTTTGTCCAGGCAGAGGAGGGGGTGCTACTCAGGGGCAGTCTGTCCAAAATGGACTGGGAATCATGGCTGGCAATTAGAACAAGGGCAGCTGAAGTGCCCCTATAACCGGTCACTTCACAGAGGGTCTGGCCAACAAGTAATGCAAGTCAGGCAGCGACTTACTTCTCCTCCTCTGTGGCATCAAGGATCTCTGAAGGAGCTGTGGAAAGAAAGAGTGCAGGTGAGTGAGACCTGGCTCTGGGGCAGAGACAGACCTGGCAGAGACAGACCTGCCTACTCCCTGGTAACAGTCTGCATCATTCCATAGGGGCTGCTATTTTCATGCTGCCTGCAAAAGTCCTAGCTTCAAAGAACTCAGGTCAGCAATGGCATCTGAGCCCAGCTGATCCCAGGAAAGAAGAAGTGGTTGTGGACTCACTACAGAGAAATATCTAAATAAAAGTAAAGCTGTCTGTATTTCAGTTGGAACTGCCAAAAACAACTGGTCAGCTGCCCTGAAGGCAGAAGCAAGACACTGAGAAATGTTTCCCAGAGACATGCTGATCCCTGCCAGGATGCAGCAACAGCCATAAGGACACCCCAGTACTGGCAGACAGAAGCCAGGAAAAGCCCATACACCAGAAGGATGACGTAGCAAACCCAGAGGGAAGGGATCTAAGCCCAGGAGCACTCCTTCTGAGCAGAGGGTTGATTTTTTTTTGCTGCCAGGCTCCTTTGCTAAGAGTGGCACTGTGACTCCAGCTCACCATTCTCGATGATGTATTTGACGATGTCCTTGCTTCCTGATTTGACAGCATGGTGGAGGACAGTCTGGCCCGAGGAATCTCGCACCATCAGGTCTCTTCCAGCTTGGTGCAGCTCTTGGAACTACAGGATTGTCAGATTGCTCAGGATGAGTTGCATTTCCCAGCTCCAAGCCCCAGCATTATGTGCCTGGAGTGTCTGACAGGTTGTGTGGGTACTTGCTGCTGGTGGGGAGCTTTGGCCAGCTCAGCCATGTTACCAAGTCCCTTCCCTTCTCCTCCCTTCCCTTTGTGTCTCCCAGGAGCTGAACCAGAACTCCTTGCCAGAAGCCTGCCTGGTTTCTAGCCACCACTCCTGAAGGAAGGCCTTTGACAGGCACTGCTCCAGGGCAACTGGGGAGCACAGCTGGCAGGGCTTCTCTTAGCCCAAGGGGCACACCACCCCAGGAGCCAGCCTTGGCTGCTCATTGCACCAGGCTGCTGGAGGACCTACCTTGCTGAAGTTGCCACTCTTGGCAGCTTCTATCAGAAGGTCATCTGCAAAGAGAGATGTGTCAGGGTCAGAAAAGTCGATCTGGAACACTGCTTATCTAATCTTGGAGACAAGAGCTGGGCACCAGAGGCGTGGAGCAGGAGCACAAGCTCCTCCAGGGATTAACCCTTTGGTCAGACTGCATTTACATGGCTTCTCCACCTTCAGGAATGTAAGGAACAAGCCAGGGAAAGGAAAGAGACACCACGTAGCTAGGGGTGCAGCCACATCTCAGCCCCAGGGAGATGCAGCGGGAGTAGTCTCTGCCCTTGGGCAGGATAACTTGTGATGAAAACGGGGAGCAGGTCTCCTGGGCATCAGCCAGCAGCCAAGATGCTTCTCACCAATGACTCACTCACACCTCTAGGCTCCAATCAAGTTTCAGGAAACTCTTTCCATTTGTTCAGCTTGGTGAGGCCCCTGATCTAGTGCTCCCACCTCCTCAGGGAGAGGCAGAGACAGCCTTCCAACCCAGTCCACAAAGCTCAGCCCTGCAGGTGGGGGATTAACCCCGTGCCACATAATTTCCCGCAAGCTGGAACTGGGAAGGCCCCTGGCTGGGCCACTCCACAAATCACTGTCAAGTCTCTTGTGCTCACCTCTGGGTCACCTGCCTGCAGGGCTCCATGTTTCAGAACACATGGAACAACAGGGCTCCTCCCTGCTCACCAGAGAAAGGATAGGCCAAAAAAACCCATGGCAGGAAAACAAAAGTGCAACACAAGAGGGGGTATGACCAGGGGTAGGACTCCACTCACCTTTATGTGGAAGGCAGTGCTCAGGCTCAGCGCTGGAAGGGAAGAAGAGAAAGTGTAACTAACTCTGCCAGTCCTGGCAGCCGATGGCCCTAACAGGCATGCCACCATTAGAGGGATGGAGAAACCTGCCTATAGCACTCCTTCCCTGATCTGGGTTCTTCCCCTTCCCCATTCCCATTCCCACTGCTGCTCCTGATGCCATTGCTCCTCCATACTCATCACTGGCCTTGGTTTGGCTGAGAGACACCCTTGTCCTCTGCCCCATGGAGCTTGACCCCATGGCTGAGCCACCTGGTGATGGTGGCTACTTAGGGCAGCACTGGCAGAGGAACAAGGAAAACAGGACTGCACCTCATCCCTTGGCCTTACTCAACAGTGAATTCCTGCTTACTTCCAGGGAGCTCCCCTATAATCTGGCCCAGGGATCAATGCTGTGAAGCCAACCCTAGCTCTCCCATCACTGCCCATTCTTCCTGAGACCCAGCACCCCCATTTCAGACTCACCTGGGGGCAGGAGAGGAGGATGGAGAGGAGGAACAGGAAGGAAATGCAAAATGGTACCCAGGGGGTGTGGCAGATGAGTCCACGAGGTCAGGCATGGCAGGAGAAGTGCTCACAGTCTGAGTGACCACTAGCTCTGGGTCCAAGACATAGAGCTCATCCTGAGAGATCTCTGTCACATAGTTTAGGTGTTCCTGAAAGACACAAGTCAGGACATGCTTCCTCAGAAGCAAGACCTACTTCTGCAAAACCACATCCCCTCATATCCCATTGGGTGAGTTTGTGGCCCACCCATTTGCACAGCAATGGTGGCTTGAACAGTCTTGTGCCCGGGAGCCTTTGCATCTCCTTGTTCTTTTCAGGCTTCCTGTCTCCTGCTGCCTTAGCGACCTCGTAAACCTTATCTCCACACCCCCCTCCCCAGATCATTAGGGAAAGTATTTAATACTGGTGAAGACGATCCCAGCTGGCAGGTCCCCTGGCCAGTCTTGCTATGTTTGCTATTCCTTACCTGCTGCACTGGAGGGCCCTGCAGGCAGCTTTTAACCCAAGGTTCTGTGCTACCACCCAGGCTTCTTCCCTTTTCTCTAGAAACCTGGAGGTGCTGAGCCTGGTCCTGGGCCAGGCTCATCATGCCATCCCTTTGGGGAATGCCAAAGGCCAGGTCAGTGGTGTGAGACTTGTGTGGCCCTAAGGCTAAGCCTGCCTGTTGGCCTGTGTGCAGGTGGGACATGCAAGCACCTTCCCAGGGGATGACGGTGTAGGGTGAGGCTGCACTCACCTGTGCGCGGTCTATCCTGTAGAACCGATCGGCCGTGGTTGCTGTAAGACAGGAACAGAATGAGACAGGCTGATCCTTGGTGCGAGACAGCGCCTCTTCCCATCACCAGTGACAGTGAGCTATCCAGCCACTTCATGCCTCGCACAGAGGGTACAGCAAAGCAAACACCAGCCCCTGACCAGGAGCAAACCTCTTCCCTTCATGAATCTGCTGGTGTCTTCACCCTAGAGGCAGCCCCTTAGGCCAACAGACCACCATGTCCCCGTTAAACACGCCTTTGCTTGCTACCTTCTCCTCAATGACTCCTAGCAGGGAGCCACAGGTAAGGCAGGAACACAACTAGCTGATGCCATGGCCTTTCTGGGGGCTTTCAGGTGCTCCAGCATTATTCTGAGCAGATGAAGCTCAGGGCTATGCAGTGCACATCTCAGCACTCACTTATACCAGATGAGGAACTGCTGTGATTAACATGGTGCATCTTGTTGAACAGTGCTCAGAAATGGGGGCACTACAGGAGGCTGGGAAAAGAGAGGGCTCAGCCTCCTGCTGACTTGACTAAGGACCTTCATGAGGCCACTCAGAGCATGTGTGGCACAACAGAGCATGCCACCACCAGCGGTAGATCCAAGTCCCTGTCTCCTAGGATGGCAGGAGAGCTCTGAATCAGCCTCCAACCTGTCTGAGTGCATCCCTCTTCCTTAGAGAAGAGATCACCACAGAGAGAGAGGAGCTCCAACAGAGCAAGCGGTTATGCTGGAGCCAGACACACATGGCCACCACCCCCAGGGGAGCAGGGAGAGGTTATGAATTAAGGGCATCACCAAGGGAGACCAGGACAAGTAAAAGCACAGTGCCAGGACAGCTGGATTCCTATGCAGGGCAACATTTCCCCAATATCCTGACAGGCTGCTGGTGCCAGTCCAGGAGAGGTTGCTGCAGTCGAATTCTTGCAGACCCAAGGAAGTCTCTCTGCAAACAGAGTGGGGATGTGCTAGAGCAGGTGAGGAGTGAGACAGCCATGTTTATCCTGGATATTTGCATCCAGGCCTGTTCAAGGCCTATAATTCAGCTACTTGAACAAACCTGTGCTGTGTTGAATGAGACTCTAGTCTCTTTCCTGACACATTTTCCTGAGCCCAGAACCTGCTGCTGGGAGATTGGCAGAAGGGAAAGTGGCCCTGGTACAGCAGTCCTAGTAGTGACACCATACACAGGGCTAGAAACTTGAAGGGAGAAGTTGCACCCTCTCTGCCTAGCACAAGCCTTCCCAGGCCCACTTTGCAACCCATGGCTGTGCTCTGCTGTGGTCTACATGCTGCTTGCTGGGGTATCAGAGAGATGAAATGCTACAAATCGGCATTTCACTCAGCCAGCTTCCAGGTACAGAGGGAGGTTCTCGGTCGGAGAAGGCAAAGGGAGAAGAGAAAGGCACTTTCAGGCAGGAGAGAAGCAGCAGCTGCAGCCCAATAGGGAGGCTGTTCTCCCGTAACACTGCTATGCTCATGGTGAGCCTGGCTCCGGGCATGCTGGAGCACGGGGGCCCCCTGCCTGCACAACTCAGGAGAGCATCCCCAGCAGTCCCGAAGTGACAAACGCATGCCACCAAGCTGCCTTCAGCTCCAGGGGCAAGAGAACCACAGACTGCCCATGCTCCACTCCGGATCAGCAGCCAGACATGCACCCTGGGGGAAAGCACTGCTGTGCTCAGCCCCAAAGACCCCAGCATCCAAGTCCCAAGCCTCAATGGTTCCCTGTCGCTTGTCACTGAACGCCTGTTCTCTCACCCCCCAAATTCATAGAACCACGGAACGATCACAAAAATTGCTTAGATTGGAAAAGACCCTTAAGATCGAGTCCAACCGTTAAACCAACACTGCCAAGTCCACCACTAAGCCACATCCCTACGTGCCACATCTACACATCTTTTAAGTATCTTTAGGGATAGGGACTCATCCACTTCCCTGGGCAGCCTGTTCCAATGCTTGATCCCCCTTTCAGTGGGGAAAAAAGCCTCCCTGATGCAACTTGAGGTCATTCATTTCCCTTTATCCTCTTGCTTGTTACGTGGGAGAAGAGACCAACACAATTTCACACAATCTCTTTCCAAGTAGTTGTAGAGAGTGGTAAGGTCTCCCCTTAGCCTCCTTTTCTCTAGGCTAACCAACCCCAGCTTTTTCAGCTACACCTCCTAAAATTTGTGCTCCAGAGCCTTCACCAGATCCATTGTCCTTCTCTGCACATGCTCCACCACCTCAGTGTCCTTCTTGCAGTGAGAGGCCCAAAGCTGGATGCAGGATTCCTGGTGTGGCCTCACCAGGGCTGAGAACAGGGAAACAATCACTACCCTGGTCCTGCTGGCTACAATTTTCTTGATCCAGGCCAGAAGGCCATTGGCCTTCTAGGCCACCTGGACACTGTCAGAGACTGAAATAATTCATGCCTCAAACACTGCTATAAAGTTTTACTCATTATAACTGTATAAAAACTGTATAAAGAAGCTACAACCAAAGAAGCTTCCATGAAGATACCTGACTGGGACTTTAGACTGAAAGTTAAACTGCTAAGATTAAGTAAAGGGAATTCTTCAATCACCTGAAACAAACAAGTAAACAAGGGCAAGAATGTGAGCCCAACCCAGCAGTCATGCTAAGAATCATCTCTGGCTTGCTTTGGGGTGGGGGAGGCTGTAGCCCACAGACCTATTTGCTTGGAGCAGGTTTGCACAGATTTCACCCCCCATGTGAGCGGGGGGAGGAAGTTTTGGTGCATTGTAACCTCTGCTCAGGGGCTGTGAACCCATCCTCCCTTGTACAAACTGGCTGTGGAACCCCCAGCCCTGGGAAGGCGACATCCACGGGACATTCACGTGAGGGGCAGCTGAGGGGGTGCACTAATCCATCAAAGTCCCCCCAAAGTGCCTCCACAGTAATTCCTGAGGCTTTGCACCACAGGACAGCACGTAATGCAACAAATGTGGAAGAGACAGCGGCAAACTGTCCCCCTACTCCAGGGAGGTAGGGATTTTTATACATGGCCCGAGTGTGTATTAACCCATCAGATTCTATTCTTTTTGAGGGGACCTTCACCACCAAAAAGACCAGCTGGAGAGGATCAATAGAACATCACTGGGATCCATGGAGTGGTGATACTTTCTTTATTCTGTCCTTGTTATTCCCTTTCTGTCCCCACACCTATTTTCTATTTCTCTCTCACATTTACAGTCAAAAACCCATCCTATTGTCACTGACATATGGTCTCATTTTCACCTTAATTTGGGCAGGGGCATTCCTAAGAACCTTAGTAATCAGATCCTGACAGACACACACACTGAATCATGTTCAGCTGCCATTGACAAGCACCTCCAGGTGCTTTTCTGCTGACCAGTTTTCCAGCTCCCATTCCTCCAGCCTGCAGCACTGCACGGGGTAATTGTGACCCAAGGTCAGGACATTTACTTTTCTGAACCTCATGCAATCGGCCTTGGCCCATGATCCAGCCTGCCCAGATCCCTCTGCAGTGCCTTCCTGCCCTCCCACAGATCAACACTCCCACCCAACTTATCTGCAAGTGCCTGAGCTGTGCCTGATCTCCCCATCCAGACTGATAAAGACAATAAACGGGACCAGGCCCGATACTGAGCCCTGGGGATCACCACCGGTGACCGGCTGCCAGCTGGATGTAACTCCAGGCACCACCACTCTCTGGGCCCGGCCATCCAGCTGGTTTTCTAACCAGTGAACAGTGAGTTCATGTGAGCCACGAGCAGCCAGTTTCCCCTGGAGAATGCTGTGGGAAACAGTGTCAAATGTTTTACTGAAGTTCAGGTGGACAACATCCACAGTTTTTACTGAGCAAGTCATCTCAAAATAGGAAGAGATCAGCTTGGTCTCCTTCCTTGCCTGTCCCCTCTGAAGAGTTTATAGCCATGCATTGCAACACCCCAGCTGTGTGACTTGTCCTGCCATGTTTCTGTGATGGCAACTATGTCATAGTTTTCTTGCTCTGCCATATCTTTTCGCTCCTCCTGTTTGTAGCCCATGTTGCACACATTGGTGTTGACACACTTCAGGTGAGCTACTGATTCCTCCACTTTTCTGGACATAGGAGCTGTAATTCCTATGCCCTAATTCTCAGGTGCTTCTGTGGTTTCTAAGGCATCAATAACCCTTGGATCTTTGCAGCCATGTGGATCTCCATCCCCTACCTCCATTGAGCTGGCAGACCAAAGGACCTTGCCAGCACATCATCAGACCCAGCTCCTAGTGGAGGGGGATACTCACAGTCCAGGAAGCACCACTTGGGTGACAGCCTCTGGAATGACACTGTCTTCGGCTTGGCTCCATCTCCCTCCTGCATAATAAAAGAGAGGATAAAGACATAGCTTATGGCCCCTGCATCTCTCTTCAGAGCATTTCTCCTGCTTTGGGAGGTCCCTGCAGACATATAGGACCACAGGCACTTGGATGAAATTGAACACAGGCACAGCACACTGCAACAGGGAGCACCATGGGACAGACTGGAGCTGACTATAGAGCAGTGTCACAAGATGAGCCCCTGAGACTGGCACAGTGGACATGGCAGATGGGCCCAGAGGACAGAGAGAGGCCATACACACCTGGAAGAGCAGGCGCTCTAAAGCAGAGGGCTGTGCAGGGAAATCCTGCAGAAAAGCAAGGTGTCCTGTTACAGCCTGCATCTGGGCAGCCCCCCAGTCCCTCTCTCATCCCACTGGAGTTCCTTGATGTGCTGCCACGTTTGGCTTTACAGACTGTCTGGCCAAGGTACCTGGTCCTTGCCTGGCTTTAAGATCAGAGCACAGAGCTTACCCAAGGAGTGACAAGAGGTAAACCATGAGGTGACCAAGGAACACCGGCCACACTGCACAGTTTTAAAGGTGCGGGAGATTGCAGGGGCATCTGTCTATCACACTGACACAGCAGGAGAGCATTACTCTGTGAACCCAGGAGCTGCTAGCCATGTGCCTGCCGGTCTGTCCCCACCAGTGCCTGGGCACAAAGTGGGCAGGGGACATGCCTACAGAGCAGGTACAGCAGCAGGCAGATGCCAGTGTGCCAGCCCAGGCAAGCAGCTCTGCAACTCAGCTCTGAGGGACTCTACACATACAATGCATGGGATTCCCACAGGCACAAGGGCCAGCTAACAGCACACTAAGAAAGGTCCCTTCAATCTTCTCTGCAACAACCAGATTGAGCAGTGCAGCACCAGAAGCCACACTATGGGCTTAGAAGGCATTGCTCACCAGGACCAATAGTAACACAGTCTATGTACAGGTCACAGACGTGCTAGTACATTGGCAAGGACACAAAAATTAGTGCTTGTAAATGAGAAGAGTGGGAGGGGTTATAAACCTAATTCAGGCACCTGGAGAAGGCGGAGCTGTGACAGGAAACACAGAGCCTATGAAGGGTTGAATGGTTGTAGGCCCCCACAGGATGTGTGCTGGCTTTTTATACTACCCTGTAGCTTTTCAGAGTCACTTTCTGGGCTTGGAGAACAGTCAGAAGAGGAACGCTGAAAAAGAAGCTGTCAGACAGCAGGGAGCAACAAGGCATACAGCTTGGGACCCTGCCTTCACCACATGGTGAAGGCAAATCGTGACCTCTAAGCGTGACCCAAAGCAAGAGCGTGTATGGTGGTGTGTGCAGGTCAAGGTGGCTTCGAAATCCTTTCCCTGAGTCCCTTCATTCTCAGTATTAAGCTATGACCACTTTTCATGCAGACTCACCTCCTGTAGCTTCTCAATCTGAGTCCGGCACAACTCCAGGTCACTGTCTCCTGGAACCACGATGATCCCCAGTGGCACAGCTGAAGGACAGGGCACAGGCTTAACTCAGAGAGCAGCCCATGCCCCATTTCCAACACCTCACAGTTTAGCTACAGGCTTTGCCATACTTGGGGACTGCAGTTCCCACCCCCTGGTCACTCAGCTGGTCACTCACAGGCTTCCTTGAGCTTTTCCTTGTCATAGTTCAGTGCCTCATAGTCACGCATGCTGATGCGGCTCACCCGGATCCGCAGACGCTCGGGCACTGGCTGCTGGCTGTGTGCAGGGGGCAAGGAAAAAGGAAGATTTCAGAAAGTGACACCCTGCTTTCTCCTTATTGCCCCAATCCCTCCAAAACAGGCAAGAGTATTGTATAGACTGGGATGGGGAGCTTGGCACCAGCAGCTTCCTCAGCATCAGGGTCTGGTCTTACTTCTGTGACCCAATCCCTTCCCAGACCCTATCCAAGAAAGGACCGAAATGCCTCTGCCAGTCACGGATCAGTCCCATCCCTTTCCTGCCAACCATCCTTCCTTAAGGAGGAGGTGGCAGATCAATCTGAGGAACCTACTCATTGAGCAGAGGCATGGAGTTGCGCCGCTTGGTCTTCTGCAGCATGTTGGCTTGGTTGCGCAGAGAGATGTGGATGCAGGAAGCTGCCAGCTTGCAGGGCTCTCCATCTACCTGCATGGGGATGGCCTTGGATGTGGTGAGAACCACCTGCCGGCACTGACAGAGCCGCTCCCCATGGCCACCGACTTGCAAGGCAGCCTGTGAAAGGGTCCAGAGTAAGAGCAGAACATGGACTGAGACGTGGACGAGGGGAACATCCATTGTCATCTGGATGTTACAAGTGAACCAAGTTCTGAGGGTCTCAGGTATGATTTCAGTGAGAAGGGACTCACAGAGACCAGGGCATGACAGCACCTCACCTAAATCTTAGAGAGCAGACACTGTCATATAGGCCAGAACCACAACTCCTCCAGCGAGGATTTGTGGAGCTGTGGGCTGGCTGACACGCGGTCATTGGGACCATTCAGTCCCCTGATTGCCACCTACATCTGGTAACAGCACTAACTCACCAGTGATGTCATGGTGAAGCCGATAACTTCAATGCAGCCATCATCATGGCGCTGGGGCTCAAAGTCATGGTGCTCCCCAGGGTTGCCCCAGGGCATGGTGCCTGCACAGTACCTGTGAAAGGACAAGAAGAAATACCTGGACTGGCACCCAAACCCAGGTAGAGATCTACAGCACAGGTGTGAAAAGCCCAGCATATGAAGACAGGTCCTGAGGGTGCTCACCTTGGGATGTTAAGGAAGACCAGGCACTGGGGCTTCAGGTCCTGAATCTTGGAGGTCAGGTCTATCCCATCACACTAGAGACAACACAGGGGTGCTCAGGCTGCTGTAAGGGGGAGCCTGGTCCATCCTACTCACTTAGGAAGAAATGACCTCCCTCCTCCGCTCCTTACAGTGAATGTTCTCCAAGTCAGGGGAAGCTGATGCTCCCAGGAAGTTCCCCTTTCGTTCCCCAACCCTGACATACTCAGTGTGCCAAGGGACATTATTCACACCTCCACAGCTCACCCCCTCCCTGGACCAGAGCACCCCAGCACACTCACAACCAGCCTGACATGCTTCGCCAAGTCTTTGGAGCTCCCGGTGAGGAAGTCGGAGAAGGCCGTCTGCCAAGGTAAGAGACAGAGTTAGTGCCCAGGTGTTCACCAGAATGGGAAGCCAAGAAGCCTGCCTCTGACCTGACACAGACCTCAGCTGATCAAACCTGCAAACCCCCTTTTCATCCACTCTCAGAAGTCCTCCTCCAAAACAACCTGATCCGTTCCTCTTGCTATTTTGCCTACCAAAAACCTTGAGGCACTGTAAGTAACATGCTCTAGTATTCCCTTGCCAGCCCAGTCCTGACTTTAGGGAAGAGCTGACAAGATGAGTCTCCTACAGTGAGAATCAAGTAACAAGAGACAAATTCAGTCTCAAGCTGATATGAAGTACCACCAAACAGAGCTGAAGTGACCCCATCTAGAGATTCCAGGAGGGACAGCATGGGTCCCCTTTGGGCTTAACTGTGCAGACAGCAAAAGAGACACAAGCGAGACAGGTGTGAGATGGCACAGAGCAGCACTCGGCCTTTAGTACTGCTCGAATACCAGTCACCAGACACATGGCTAGAAAGTATATTGAGGATGGGGAGACAGAGGAACAAAGATGATACTGAGATGCAAAGCTCTCAGGTGAGACACAGGAGGGTGATGTAATTAGCCAGGAAGCTGTAACTGGTCCAAGGTATATAATAAAAGACCAAAGTAGTGTGCAGACTATGGAAAAGCTTCCTTTCCCTCTGCAGGGGGGACAGTCTGCCTTCCCACAGCTCCAGGGCGGTCCTGCCTCAGTGACCACCCCTAAGCTTGAGATCAAGAACAATAGTGGCAGGAGATCAATACAGCAACTGTACTGTAGGCCACAGAGCAAGTTGTACTGCCAGCAGCACTCACAGCCAAAGGGGAGCTGTGACTCCCAGCACTGCAGTATTTCTCCAGCAACTTTCCAGCTTGGGCTGGGGGGCTTAACTTGGGTGCATGTGAAGGTCTATGTAGCTTATGGGTGAGTTTAGGATGCAGGCAGGAGGCAGGTCCAGGCCTGTGCTGCAGCTGACATTAAGGCTGCTATGACGGCAGGCTCAGACATCCCCCACACACTCACCCCAGCATAGAACATTTTATTCCGAAACCGGCTGTTGAACTTCTCTGGGTTGGCCTCTAGGGAAAAGGAGAAAAAAGTCCAGGTCACTGGCCTACACATGGAAACATTTTACTTGCCAGCTCTCCTCAGACACAGCTCTCCAGCCAGCCTCAGCCAGGGGTCTGCCCCTAGCTTCTTTCCTGTGCAGGCACCCCTTTTCCCCCTTTGCAGCTTGGACTTGCTCCTCATGTTTCACCTCCAGCTCTGTCCCTGAAGCAATTCTCTTGTTCCCTTTCCTGAGGAACCCACAAATGAGAACAGGCCCATCCCACAGACCCCGACCAAGTCCTGCCACTGCCCTGTACCTCGAGATTCGTGGAACTCCAGCGTCACCCGTGCGTCAAAGCCAAGGCTGAAGTAATTATTAAAGACATCCAAAGGGAGCTGAAATGGAAAGGAGAAATAAGGATGAGGCCGCCAGCATGTGCCCGTGGCACAGATGAGGTCAGGTTACAGCAGAGCCATTACAGTGCTCATGAGGCTGAAAGATCCTGCTTGCCTTTTCCCTAGGAAAATACAGAGGTCACCAGCCTGAGATGATGGATTATTTCCTGGCTCCTAGGGGCAAGGGAAACGGTCCAAGGGGACACACTCTGCTCTCTGAGGTTTCTGCAGTCACCCATGTTTCTGTTAAAGAAAACAGTCTCACAGAAGACTTATACCTGTTGTAAGTTGTGGTTAAAAACCTTTGGTAGGCATTTATTTATGAACTCTACATACACTCTTGCTATGAATGCTGTGGCTCAGAGCCATGAACAGAATGGTGGAATTGGAGGAGTGAGAGGGAAACACCAACCCGAGAACAGTCCCAAGTGCTGGGACTGCCCAAGCCAGTGACAGAAGAGAGAATGCAGACTCTAGCACAGGGAATAGATATGGAGAGGTGTCCCACCTTGTCAGCAGCTGCTTCATCCTTTTCCTCAGGGTTTGTGTCAGGGTTTGGCTCCACATGGAGGTTCCAGCGATCAAGCTGTACTATGTTCCCATCTTCAACGTGCGATAGGATCTTGGACAGAGGCTCATCTGTGTAACCCTGGTGAAGAGAAGGACTTGGGGGCCTCATGCCTGCCTCCCAGAGAGATACCCCAGACAGCAGGCTTTGGTAAGGCATCTCAGAATAAAAGATGTAGAAGAGATCAACTCTACTTGAAAGCACAACAAAATGGGACTTGAAATTTAAAACAATACATCTTCCTTCTAAAAATTTTCCAAAGTTTGAAAAGCCAATTGCTTTTGTAGAATCTAATGCAGTACCATTCAAATGTCAGAAGAACAGCAACATCCAAATTGCACTTATTTGTTGCTCTGAATTTACAGGAAATTGAAACATGAGCCCATGCAAATCTCCAACCACGTGTCTGAAACAAGGATTGAAGCACTCAGCCCTGCTCTCTCAGCAGTGCGTTCTTGTGTCCATCACTTACCCCACCCCAGTTCAGTGTTCTGGCCAAGTCGTTCCCTGTCCCCAAAGGTAGGATGGCCACAGGAGGAGGTGGGTTGATGCGTAACTGGTCCAGAATGGAGAGTATCCAGCCCACCTGCTCAAGCAAGAGAGTACAAAGAAACCATTAGTTATCTCAGAGACCAGCAGGCAGGCAGAGGTGACTTGGAGCACTAGTGATGGCAGAGGGGCAGAGATGGGGTCTCCTTAGCCACAACTGCGGCTATTCGCAGTCTTTACCACTCTAATCAGGTGCTGCAGGACGTACCAGTAACCCCAGTGAGGACCGTGGCCCTCAAAAGGGCTCCAAATCCAGACATGTTAGACTAGCACTCCCTGGAACAGTGCACGAGGGGACCCACAGCATCTCTGCTACCAGCTGTACCATGGATGCAGGGTGCCCAGTTTGTCCTGTTCTGGATTACAACAAGGAGGGCTGCTGTCTGCACTGGAAAGGCCTGGGGGAAGGGGCACCAGGGGATGGAGGGGCTGGGGACTCACCGTGCCATCTCCCCCGCACGCCAGGATCCGGAGGTTGTGGACTTTGCGGTACAGCTCCAACCTGTGGGCAACAGGGAGGTTGAGGAGGGGAGAGTCACTGAAGGCGTTACACAGCAGCTGCCTCTCGGAGCCCTTGGCATTCACAAAGCCACATCCATGTCTCCCTCTATGAGCTGGGGGAAGAGCTCTTAGGAGGAATCCTGGGACACAGATGGGGGAGAGAAAGGTGCTGCCCCCATCAGTACTCACGCCTCCTTGGGTCCACCCTGGCTGAGGTCGAAAACCTGCCGTGGGTTGAGATACCACATGAAGGACTGGATGATCTTGGCTCCCTATGGGGAGAAGAAAGACTTCAGGTAAAATTGAGTTCCCAGTGGACAGCAGAAGGAGGCATTTGGTCCTGCCTGGGGACAGGCTAAGACAACACCATTCTGGAGGGGACACAGGCAAAGCTTGGCCGAGGTAGGAACTGCTATGCAGCAAACTGGCATTGTGGCCTCTTGTGCAGCTGAAGCATCACCAAAACTGTGATGACAGCTCAGCACTCAAATGGCAATGCCCTCACAGAGATGTCTTCTTAGACATAGCAGCCAAGGCCATACCTGATTCCCACCACTCTTGGGGTTCACAAACACCAGCAAGGGCTTCATGAGAGGAGCTGGCATGGGCTTGATGACAAAGGGTTTCCACCTCCCTTCCTGCAAGAGATACCATAGATCCTTCAACAAAGCTGGGGAAATGCAAACTGCCACCTCCAGCTGAGCCCTAACATCATGCAGGTCAGAAGCAGGAGGAAGAAAACATCCCAGCCACCCCATAAGCTTTGTTTCTGGGATATACCCTGCCAGCAGGCATGCTCCCTCCAGCTCAACCTCCTTAACATCAGTACAGACCCAGAAAAGCCCACTTTTATTCTCAGCCTTGCTCCTCACTGTTCAGTCCCTCTGCCCTTCCAAGACAAGGTCATTCCCAGTCCCCTCATATCTTACCTCGGCCCCCTTTTTGCTGGATTTCCGCTTGAATGATGTCCTCTTCTTTTTTTTACTAGATTTCAGCGGATTCTATAGAGAAAAGGAACAAACACAAAAACTCTGTGAGGAGCCACTGGGCAAGTGGTAACTTTGAAAGAGCCCCAAGAGCTGAAGTGACTCACCTGGGGCCGCCGGACCCGCAGAATCCAGGTGGGAGGAACGACGACAGCAGCGTGAGCCCCCAGTGAGCAGGGCTCTTCAATGTGTTGCAGCATGAAACACGATACTTTGCTGTGATACTGGCCAAGGAGAAGACAGAGAGAAAACTCAGCTGCTCAGTTTGCTGGGCACAGCCACAATCTCCTCCTCTCAGGTTCCCCATGCCAATGCAGGGAGTGCTGGATGAAACCATGCAGGAATTTTGTAACGGGAAGGCAATGAAGAGAAAGTTTCTCAAAGGAGCTTGCAAATATCATAGTACAGCCTCTGCCAGCAGGGGGAGATGTTGAGGGCAGGCTGCCGAGCAGCAGCTCGGGGAGCCCCGGCAGAAAGCAGAGGTCATTCGTGCAGAACCGACTGGAAAGGCATTCAGGGGGGCTCTGCTCACCGCTTGTTTGCACCAGGAACAGCTGATGGCTACAATCTCTTTGCTGTGGAAGGCAAACTTCTGCTGAAAACCCTATGGAAGAAAGGACAAGAGGCTTAGGGAATTCCCTGCAGTTTCCTATCATCCAACAGTAAGAGATATTAACAAAGAGAGCATGCCTGCAGCTGGAGCCCTCCAGATCCTGTCACACAGTCCCAGTCACAACAGCACCAAGGAGGCCACTGTGCTCTGTAGGGGTGTCCTCATTGCTCAAGGAAAGCATGTCAGGAAGACAGTCTCTTTCAGGGCAAGAACTACTCTATGTGGGAAGCAGTCACACAGTACTTCACTGAGTAAAGCAGGGCACATGTCTTGGTTTTGCTGTCAAACAGGAATGGTGGGATGTCCCTGGTTCCAAGCCCTGTGCATGTCTCTGGCTTGACCTTAGGTTTCCTTCAGGCTGAGAAAAATGCCCAAGATGCCCTCTCACCTTGCCACACTGCCGGCACTTCCCTTCCTGCCGCCTCCGGTGCACCCAGTGATGTCGGACAACAATGGGCTAAACGGAAAAGAAAAAAGGAAAATTGAAAAAAAAAAAGAAGTGAAGGGCCCAGTGCAGGAGGGAACACAGGAACAGGCAGAAGGAATGGACACAGGCCAGCCAACCTCTGCTTTCGCAGCAAAACCACTGCTCATAAGGACCAGCCCCCCACCTGCTGAGAAGGCAAAGCCAAAGAATCAGGGGACAAGAGGCCAAATTAAGATGCTCCAAGAAAAGGGAATTAAAACCAGAAGAAACAGGAAGGAGGACGGGGAAACTAAAGACTGAGAATCACACAAAGCAGATCCAATGGAGAGTGGGTAAGCAGCAGCACATCTCTGTCCCCTAACATCTCTGCCCAGATGCTCCTAGTGCCAGGTGAAAAATGTGCAGGTGGATGGCGTGAAAATCCCTGGAGAGACACAGTTTGTGCCCACAGGAAGAAGATGGAAGTGCTTGCAGCTAAGCAGTGAACCACCTCACTCCACATTCCTCGAGAAGAGTGGCAGCCTCAAAGCCCTCCACACCCACTTCCCCCTGCTCTTTCCCCAGGCCAATCCTGAGCTTGCTTCAGTGCCAGCGTGGGCAGCAAGGCTGCTTGGCAGCACCTCTGCTCTGCTTGCAGGCACACAGTGAGTTCAGGGCTGGGACTTGCAGAAGTGATTGTGAGGGTTTCACAAGTTTTGTAATGAAGTACCACTTGTCCTAAATACTATCCTGTTTTTCCAGCCCTGGACTGGGAACGGGCTGGAAAACTGCAGAGAGAGAAGCAAAAAGAGAAAGGGAGTATGAGTTCACAGGCTGGTATGACAGGGCCCAACATCCTGCTCCTGACAGCTTTTGGGATCACGATGATGAGAGACAAAAACTGGCAGGAGGTTGGGGTCAGCTCCAGTGTTGCCTCCTTTGAGTGCAGCACACATGAGGGGATGAAGAGTCTTGTTGGCTTTAGTGGATATTAATCCAGCAGGAGCAGAAGGAGGGCTATGCCTTGAGCTCAGCTCTGGGTCCAAGCAGGCACATCTAGCAAAAGGGCTGACCCTGAAGGAGATCCCTGGCACCACAAAGGCCAGAAGAACACCTTTTTAGGGAAACAGGAAGGAAGAGGCCTTGGAGGAACTGAGAAGAATTAGAAAGACAGGATGGAGAAGGAGAGTTTGTGAGAGAAAAGAAAAAGGAAGAAAGGGGAGGGAGAAAAGATTTGTAGAGGCTGGAGAGAAGAAAAATAGAGACAGACAACTGAGCAGAGACAGCAAACTGTTAGCAGAGCCCAAAAGGTAAATGAAGCACAAATAAGGGAGCTAGACTAAGAGCAATATGGGAAGGAGGCACAGAAAGAAAAAAAAAGCAAGAAAGGAAGGTTTAAAGTGATGCTGAAAGCTTCCCTTTACAACGTCGTGTCGGCATTTCAAAGCAGGCAGCCCTATGTTTGAACATCCTTCCCCAGCTAGGTCTGCTGTGCCAGCACAAACACAGTGTGCTGGGGGCAGCTCTGTTACCAACACGGCCCATGACTGAGCCACCCACACCCACTCCAGAGCACTGCACAGGCTACATTGGCTCCACAGGCTGGGGGGTGAAGCATGAAGGCTGACAGCAGCTTCCACCAGTGCAGGTCAGCAGACAGGTTCCAGGCCACTGCTTAGGCCCAGTACATTACAACATGGGCTGAAGGGGTCTGATACCACTACTGTGGGCAACTTCCACTGCCACCTGTGGCACCTAGGTCAGAGCTGAGTGATAAAGCCAGAAAGGAGCCCATACTGCTTCCTTCCAAATTGCAGGAGACTTGGGGACCTGCTGTTTACCACAGCCTCATCTATGTGCCTGAGGACCCAACACAAGGGTCAAAATTTCTCCCAAAAACCACTGTCTGTAGGTTCCTCCCATGCAGATTCCGGACATGCAAACCATCGGATGCTCTGCATCTGCTGCCTGCAAACTTCTCACTCTTCAAACCCAGTCTGTGCTGCTGCCTTGCAAAGAAACTCCCTTTTATGGCACCACTCCCTTGGAGCAGGAAGGAACATGATGCCTCCACTTGGATGGGCAACACGCTGGCAGCATCTGGTGTCTTTACCACCAAACTGGAAATGGGAGATGCAGATGTGGGCACAGTCTAAAGCACATGTCTCACCTCCCGTATGTTCCGGGATCCTGACTCCCTGAAGGACGGCTTGCAGCGGAAATTTATCTGTAGGAAGAACACAGGAGAGGAACCAGTAAAACCATCGTACCTGAAGGAAATCTACTGGAATTTACTGCACTACAGTAAGATTCAGAACCTCTGGAGTTGTTTGGTACTTGCCACAAAACATGTCTTTGTTACTGAACAAAATGGGGCCTGGGGTCCCAATCATATCACTAGATCCTCATTTTGAAACTGTCTCCTCAGAAGACCATTCTCTGCAATTACACATTGCAGTTCCTCCATCTTCTTGTGTTTCACAGCTCAAGACAAGGCTGCTACAGTTTTGCAAGCTGCAGGGAGGGCTTAACAGGCTCTACTCACTTTCTCCAGCTGTTCGATGCAGGGCGTATGCACTACGATCTTGCAGGCTGCACACTTGCGCCTGGAGAGAGGTTTTTGCTGAAGGGTAAGAAAAGAGGAGAAAAAATATACATGTGAATGAAAATATGCAGTGTTCAGAGTCTGGCAAGCTCAGCCTCCCATCATACCTCCTTCTTATGTACTGGGATACAGTACAAGCTCTACTGTAAGGTTAGATACAACCTAGACTTCTTATCTAGTGAAGGGGTCTAAGCATGTGCCTATAGCAGTTGTTCTCAAGCCTGGGACAGAGCAGGGAGGTACTTTCCCTACTGTCCTGTCCTGCAGTACTTGTCTTTTTCTGACACTGCCTGAGAGCACCATGGAAGCTGGTCTGAGAGGTATCTGCAGGGTGGTATCAGTGGCAGGCACCTGCAGGATGGCATATGGAGCATCAGCGCTCCATATCCTGCACCACGAGCAGGACTGAGCCTACAAACTGGGAGGGAGGGCTGCAGGGGCAGGAGGCAACAGGCCTGGGCCTCCAGAGCTCACTTTTCTCCTCTGTTGAAGGGTCTTGGATTCAGATCGTCCTTCCAAGGGTGTGGAATACCAACAGCCTTTCTCTGGAACCCTCCAGGCAAGAGGCAGCCCTGCATCAGGTTCCCATTGCAAAATGAGAACCAGCATTGGCAGAAACTGGGGACTAGACCCTCCGGTATGCAGAGGCAGAAGGGACACAGTCCCTGCCTTGGCAGCTCCCCAGGCCCCTGCATGGCCCCCAGCAGCAGCAGCAGCAGCAGCAGCGCGGCCTCTGCGGTCTCCCCATACGGTGACAGCACAGCCGCGTTTGTGGCCCCAGGTGACTCACCAGAAGCTTTGCCATGCAGTTCTGTTCCCCAACGTAGCAAAAGTCCCCAGAGACATTGGTCTCAAACCAGATGTGCTCCCCATAGACCGCAGCCTCCTGAAACACACAAGACAACACAACCTCTGAGAGAACCCCCAGAGAGGCAACTGAGCCCCTAAAATACTTTGTGCAAGGGACAAGATACTGGACAATGCTGGGAGATGGAGGCCAGGAGACAAGATGCATGCAACAGCCAGGGACATCTGGAGAGAGGAAGCCTCAGAAAGCTGCTGCCATGTCCCACCTGTTGTAAACAAGAAGCCCCCAGGAAACCAACTCCAAGACCTACAAACCACTTGCAGTGTCCTGCACAGGGGAGCTGCTTTAATCAGCCCGAGAGGAGGCATCAGGGCAAACTCAGTGCAGGGGACACTCCTGAACCAGCTTCTGTTCTACAATCTGAACGGGCAGCTTAAAACCTGTGGGGCATTAACCTGGGCCGGTTACATCCCCTGCTGTTAAGGAGCAGGGGCTTACTCCTGTTGCTTGGCCCCAGCCAACAGATCTTGGCTGTCAGAAGCAGAAAAGCTGGGAGAGGAGTAGTTATGCCATCCCTCCAGGAACCACCTGTGCCTCCACAGCCTCTCTTTTGCAGCATCAAGTAGTGCTGCCAGAAGCACAGATGCTGGCACCAGCTGGTGGCAATGGGAGAGGCCATAAATGTGTCAAAGTCAGTCACCTGGGAAGCCTCAACCCTGGGAAGAGCCTGCTGCTTCTTGGCCAAGAGTCCATTCCATGCAATGCCCAGCAAAACACAGTACAACTTACGCTCCAATCCACAGTGCTGCGTATCTGCCTCTCCGAGTCGCTCCTCATGGCTAGTGCTGGGTTTGGCTGGGCTACCATGTGTTGGAGACTGGATTTAGCAATAGCTTTCCTGGAAGACAAAGGAGGGCTGGTTATTAAATATATATGCAAAGCACAACCTGCTTCTAAGATGACACGTGAGGCTACAGCAGAAAAGGCTCCTCAGGACCAAGTGGCTGGAAATGAGGCGAATTTCCATCCCAGGTGGCTGAGAAATACCTGTTTCTGTGAGATAGTCCAGTGGGATGAAGAAGCACAGGCCATGTTGCTGACAGCTCAGCCAGACAGCTTGTACCCAACAAAAGGCACGGCATGGGCCTGCTGGGTTAACGGCCTCAGGGATAAGAGCTCCATTGTAAAACACCCTGGGAGTGTCCATGGAGCTGCAGTGGTGGGACTGCCTTTGCAGGGACAATCTAGAGCACCTGTCCAACAGTCTCCCTGCATCTCAGAGCCTGGGGTGTTTCCATGGACCAGTACAACTGCCCAGAATAAAAGGAACTGTTTGTTTGGGACTAGTGAGCTTCTCCCAGATGTGCTAGGGTGGAGGAAAGGAGCAGGAAATCCAGCCAACAGGAGAAAGTGTACATCTCCAGCCAGTGACCAGGCCTACCACATTCCCCTGGTCCCAGCCTGGCAGGAGAGGACACCCACAAGCTCCAGGTGGAAGATCATTATGGCACACCAGCAGCACTGCAAGACACCAATGGCAGCCAGGGCCAATGGCGCTGAGTCTCTTCCCTCCTTCCCCACCAAACCTGGGTGTACATTCCCCCTGTCCCCTCCCCAAGGCATTGCCTGCTTACATGCTGCCACCATACATACAGCAGCCGGGGGCTCCAGCCGTCCGGGGTGGTGTGGCCGGTGGGCTCCGGTCCCAAACCCTTGACGAGGGTGGCAGAGGGGCACTTGGTTCCAGCCACTCCTGCACAGCGCTGGGCCAGCAGCCGGGGGTGGCCAGAGGGGACCGGCCCAGGCTGACGGGCATCGCTGGAGCGCCGGCGCTGGCTGAGGCGGCGGTAGCGGCCTGGCAGGCCGTAGGCAGCCCGGCCGTGCAGGGCCTCGGTGGGCAGGCGGTGGGAGGAGGCGCGCCGCAGACAGCGGGGGCCCCGCGACAGCAGCCCTGCCTGCAGCGGCCGCAGCTGGGGCAGCATGGCCAACCACGTCTCCTCAGCGCTATGCTCGTGCTGGCCCCGCTCAGCTCCTGCTGCTGCACCACCGTCCTCTGGAGACTCAGATGTGGAGCTGTCAGTGCAGTGAGCCCCGTCCCCCTCCTCCCCCGTGGGAAGGAGGCTGGCCAGGAGGACAGTGGGACCCAGCAGCTGGGCATCAATGGCTTGTGCCTGGCCTCCGCGCTTCCTCTGCACGGCAAACCTGGGGCTGAGGCAGGGCGGCGTGGTGCTGGAGCGGCGACGCGTGCCGGGACGCCGGACCAGCCCCAGGCAGGAGAGGGACGCCGCTGCGGGGCCTGAGCCGCGGCGGCACTGGGCCAGCGAGGCGGAGGGCAGCCCCACCTGGGAGCGCCGCCTGGCCTTGCCCGTGGGCACAGCCACCACGCTGCTGCGCCGCAGCCCCTTCCGCCCAAAGTGCCGCCTGAAAAAGGTTTCCATTGCATCCGGATGGTGGCTGTTAACACAGAGACCAGGGATTAAGTAAACTCCCCTATGAGTCCCAGGCCATGCTGTGGCTGTCAGGGCAAGGGGACAGTGGGAAGCAAGGGATAGAGGGCTGAAGCAGGGAGTGGGAGATATGGCAATGCTACCAGAGGCGTGTGGTAGTGTTGCTCCCCATAGCTTTACTGCTCCACGAGTCTCACAGCTCAGCTCAAAGGGCTGCAATGGCAGGGAAGGTGTCACTGCCTAGCCAGGACCCTCTGCATTCCCTGCACTCCACTAAGCAGAACACCTGTGCACTCCGAGGTGCCAATCAGCCCTGGCACCTCCATTACCCCTCCCACTCTCCTGATGCTGATCCACCTGGTTTCCACACAGGAACCACTCTAGTTAGGTATCAGTCCCACCAAATTTGTAGCAAATTGAAATAAAGCCCTTGTGAGTCCTACAGAGGAAAATCGACCAGGCCAGTAAAACCAGGGCAGGAGAATTTGGTAGAAAAGGTCTGGGAGAGCTGGAAGCTGGGAGAGGTTGGAGCAGGGCAGAGGAGAGTTAGGAAGATCATCCCATCTGTCTTAAGCAGAACTTCCTTCTCATGGGAGAAAGAGCTTTATGGAAAGCTCATGCTTTCCCTGCCCAGCTCTCAAAGCTTGACAGGCTGCCTGGACATTGCAGCAGTCTGTTAAAAGTCATGGGTGGAAGGCACTGCAACACTTTCAGTGGCAGTAGCTCAGCACACAAAGGCCTGAGTGGAAGGAGCTGAGTCTGGCTAGCTCCAGTGCTCCCCTCCTCCAGAGACAGTGCTTCATTTCCCACCCTCCAGCTGCCACCTCTCTTCAGCTGCTAGAGGATTTATTCAAGGCCAACTTTAAAAAACCCACCAAAACCCACAGTTTGGTAGAAGCAAACTTCTCTCAATTGCTCCCAAGGCAGGGGACTCAATCATATTAGCCTGCAAGCACACAAAAGCCATCATCACCACCACTCTTAAGGATTTCCATGCTGTGCAAGGCATCTCCTCTACCCATCACGAGAGGATGGGCATGCTGCTCACCACGCAGACTGACATCTCCTCCCCTTCTTCTATCTTCCTCTCTAACCATGCCCTTTTACATTCTTATGGATCAGTAATATCAGAGAACCTTCAGGACATCACTCTGGCCCAAACTTCCAATGACCTAAGGCCCACAAAAACAGGTGCATTTATCAGAAGCTTCTTCTCTGTTTATTTGGGAAACGCATGTAAGATGGGACACAGGTTTTGTCTTCTGGACAAAATGGAGTTTTTGATAGTGCTTGTAGCACAAGCAGCACATTGGGCTGTACCTCTTTTTAATAGATGAATACAAAGGTGAGTTTGTATTCTTGGAAAAGACAAGGCTTGGTTTGGTCACCTCCACCCTTGCAGACAAGGAAGCCAGCTCTTCAGTTTCCATAGGCTTATCACCATGCCTGTACTCAGTAATGTAGGGGAAGGAGGGATGAGTGAGGAAGGGAGGGAAGGAGGCAGGAAGGAAGGAAGGAAGGAAGGAAGGAAGGCAACGGGCTCCAGAGAGCAGCATCAGGGCACCTAAAGCCTGGCTGAACTGAAAGCAAAGTCAAAGCGTCACCTCAGAAGTATTTCTCAAGTCCTACCACTGCAAGCAATGCAGGCAGGTACTTGGTCACCAGAGGGTTCAATCCACCCAAGGCCCACGCAGCTTCGCAGAGGGCATCAGCATTTTGCTGATGACTCTGCTTCCAGTCTGTTCCCCACACTGCAGTGCTCCATTTATGTACCCTCTCCATATTATCTGCAAGATGATGCACAGTAAACAGCATAGAATCAGAGAATCTAAACTTTCCCTGTACATTTGGAGGCCCTTTCCTCTTGTTCTATCACTTGTTACCTGGGAGAAAAGACTGACCCCACACCTTGCTACAATCTCCTCTCAGGTAGTTATAGAGCTCAATAAGGTCTCCCATGAGACTCCTGCTTCCTCAGCCATTTCTCCTAAGACTTGTTCCATAGACCCTTCACCAGCTGTACATCCTCTGGATGTGCTCCAGCACCTCAGTGGCAGGAGGAGGGCCCAAAACTGGACACAACACTCAAAGTGTGGCCTCACCAATGTTGAGTACAGAGAAACAGTCACTTTCCAGTCCTGTCGGCCACACTTACTGACACGGGCCAGGATCCTGTTGGCCTTCATGGCCACTTGGCACATGCTGGATCATGTTCAGATGGCTGCCAATGAGCAGCTTCACCAACAGGTATTAAAACCTTTCGGAACAAATAAAACACATTAAAAAACACAAGCAAGAATACAGGATGTGGCACATTGCAACAGACCTTTTTTGGTCTGCTTTAGCTCCTGGGGGAGACATAGTGACCAAAGGCACCTCAAATGAGCTGAATGGCTGTTCCCTCCCACCCCAGATATTCCACCAGCACAAAGCTGCTCCACTGCTTACTGTGTTGCTGCTGTGGGCAGGAAGATCTCTTAACACAGCTTCCTTCCTTTTTGCACCAGTCTCGTGAGGAAATCTGATACAACAACCTTGGTTTGACATTTATGTTTGAGCACTAGCTGACTGCGGACCTTTTTATCTTCAGGGCTGTCTGTAAATGGCACGTGGAATCAAGCTCTGACCACCAGTGGTGAAGGTTATTACAAGATTGCCATCTGACAGCCCATGACAGCAGCATGTGGCAGCTCAGATATGCTGGGTGAACATATCCCCACCTCTTGCATCTCACCTCCAACCTGAGCTCCAAATGGTGGATTGCAGGTGTGAGAGCTGCTGCTGGTGGAGCAGATGGATAAACTGCCGGGGCTGCCCATGGTTGATATGCATTAGCAGAGCTGCATGCAGAGCAGCTGGGGAACCATGCAATAGGCAGAGAGGAGCCCGAAAACAGCTAAGCCTTGGAAGGCCCAGACTTAACACCAGCATATTTCTGGCATCTCCATTGTTTGTCACAGAGAAAAGATGGAGAGGAGCCAGCACCTGTGGCTGCTTTGTAGAGCACATTACTCAGTTAGATAAGGAGGCTGGATCGAGGCAGCCTGGCATTTGTAGGGTGCAAAGTAAGGAAGTACTGCTGCATGTTCTGAGACACCAACTCTACTTATGAGCAGATACACACTGTCTTTTCAATCTCCTTCTGTGAATAAGGAAGGAGATAGCAGCTCTGGTCTGCTCATGATCTGCAATCAGAGCTCTTGAAAGGTGGGGTGCTTTTTACTACCAGACTCCTCAAAGCATCCTACACACCCTGCCTGGCCTCAGTACAGAGATGCTGCTGAAGCAGGAACATGTCCCATCAAGATCTAAACACCTTTGGAAAGAACAGCAGGGATCTAAGAGGAAAAACTTGCATCTTCTAACTGCAGTGGACGTAGAGCTTGTGAATCAGCTGTTATGGAGACATCTCTCCAGATATCCAGTAGCTAGCTCTCATTTGGTGATGGTG